AGTATAAGTCCACTTCTAAATGAAAGTTTATTTTTTCCTAGAATAAAATTGTTCCCATTTTGCTAGGACAGAGGGGAGACGGGCAGTAGATCCCCAAGAAGTTTGTTTTTGTTTTTGTTTTTTTTTTTTTTTTGAGACAGAGTCTCACTCTGTGGCCCAGGCTAGAGTCCATGGCATCAGTCTTGTTCACTACAAGCTCAAATTTCTGGGCTCAAGTGCTCTTCCTGCCTCAGTTTCCCAAGTAGCTGGGACTACAGATGCCCACCACAATGCCCAGCTGAGTTTTCTATTTTTAGTAGAGCTGGGGTCTCCCTCTTGCTCAGGCTGATCTCAAACTCTTGAGCTCATGGGCTCCTCCTGCCTTGACCTCTCCAAGTGCTAGGATTACAGGTGTGAAGCACCACACCCGGCCAGAACCTGTGCTTATTTTATTGGCCATGTGTTGGTATAATGTGCTGGATAAGGATATAAATTTAGGGAAAAGAAAGATCTGGATTCAAATCCCAGTTCTCTATTTTCTGTCATCTTAGCAGAGGTCACTTTGCCTCTCTGAATTTAAATTTTCTTCATAGGAGAACAATACTCCATCTCAGAGAGTTTTCGAAAGCACTAAGCAAAATTGTACAAGTAAAGTGCTTGGCACTGTGCCTCATCAGCCAGAGGTGCCCATAGCATTACCCATTATTACTTGTCATTACCTGTGATGATCATGTCATCCACTCTGTACTTCATTTGGTGGCTGGACATAAACTGGTAAAAATTCCTTATATAAATTAGTCACTAAACTCCACAATAAAGTATACAACTTTGAGCACAGGAAGAGGAAAATGCTCGTGGCCTCTATTAAAACCCACAAGAGGCTGAAGCCTTTGTGAATTATTCATTATTTTGGCATTTCTATACAAGGTAGGTGAATTAGAAGAAATGCTAAAACTTTTGACCCATTAATGCAGCAAGTGTGTGGTGGTAATATTGCATTTTCATGGACAAATAAATATTATATACCTTACTTCTGTATAACACTCAAAGGGGTTTTATATACAGAGTATTAACAATTACCACTGTGTGGCACCATATAGTTTTCTTTTTTTTTTCAGTTTTATCAATTTATTCATTTTTAATCTAGAAAAGAGCTTAGAGATCTTTTGGTTCAACACCACCATTCTGCACTTTCTTTCCTTCCTGAGGGGACTGTTGCAGACAACGGTGGCTGGATTCCCACAGGGATAAACCTACTGTCCCTTATTCTAGCTTTGTGCACCCATCCCCCAGCTTCTGGGTGCTTTTCTGATAAGAGTTCATACCTGTGATCTTCACAGCGTTGCCCTTGGCAATGCAGCCCCTCATCTGTTGGAGTTTCTGGAAGCACAGGGAGTTCTTAGGATATCTCCACTATCTCCTCTCCCATCCCCTGCATAGTCAATTTTTGTGTTCAAGCACAAAAACCTTGCTTCTTTTCCCTCTGCTATGACCAACCTTGAACTGTAATTCACACTTTAGTACTCCCAGCAGTACCAGGCTACCTGGGTATTTGATTGCTACTAGAAGCATGTAATATTTCTTTTCTCTGGACTCTTTTCCTTACGTTGGCTTCCAGCAGAATTTACCCTATGACACTGCCTGTGGCATTTTATAAAGAAAGATATTAGACCTAAGCAGGTTAAGTGACTCGATCCACTCATAAAATTTGCTAAGTGAGAGAGAGGGCAGAGGTGGGATGGCACATAGTCCAGTATTTAATGGGCAACAAAATCCTAAGAGCAATGATTCCAACCTTAACTATCCATTATAATCATGGAATACTATGCAGCCCTAAAGAAAAACGAAGACTTTACCTCCTTCATGTTTACATGGATGGAACTGGAAAATGTTCTTCTTAGCAAAGTATCACAGGAATGGAAGAAAAAGTATCCAATGTACACAGCCCTTTTATGAAATTAATTTATAGCTCTCAAATGAAAGATACAACTTAATTCTAGCCCAAGAATATGGGGAGGGGGTGGGGAAGGAGAGGGGAGAAGGGCGGCTAGGTGGTGGGAGGGTGACCGGAAAGATCACCTATATATCTGTCTAACAAGGGTACAAGTGAACTTTTCTAGAACTAGTTTTCAAAACTTGTTTACATTGCTATCTGAGCTGTTGTCTCACTTTGTTAGATACCTAGAGTAATTAACATTATTATTTGCATTTTTCAGAGGCCAAAGGTAATACAAGTGGATGGCAGATCTAGGACCTTGATCCCAGATCTTTTAGAGCAATCCAAGTCCAGTAGAGCAGGTGTGTTAGGTTGTGTTCCCTAGAAGCAGAGCCTGAGATAAGGATTTGGATACATGCAGTTTGCTAAGGAATTGCTCCCAGTCAGGGGTAAGAAAGAGTCAAGTAAGAAGGGCATGATCTCAGGCAAAAGCTCCACAAGGAGTTTAGCCCGATCCTGCAGGGGAACTCAAGAGTGTATGTTATGCTACAGAGTTGTCTGGACTCTGAATCTGGGTCAAGCAAGGATCTGGGCTTTTATATATTGTGAAAAAAATAGTAGCTCCAGTAGCTAGAGGGAAGTCTCCCAAAGAGCAGTGCACAGAAATGGTGAAAAGAACACCACAAAGACCCAGGCAGAGTGCTGATGTTTTCAGCTACAGTAGATTGTCCTATTTTATCCTCAACACAACCTTGTAAAGTTATAAGAGTTGTTGTAAAGATTTCAGAGCTGCAGAGAATAAAATTAAATCTCAAAGAGTTGAGTGACAAATAGGTCACAGGGCTCCTAAGTGACAGAACTGCAGCGCTGCAATGAGATGTACCGAGGAACACAGGTTATATTCAGCTCTCTGACCTGTTGGTGCCCGCACATCCTAGAGATGAGGCTTCATTGTCAAAAGACAGGAGGCTGAAGGCCTACTCTTATTGGGAAGAAGGCATTTCTTTTCTCAGTGTGCTGCTAAATTTACTGAAGTGCTTTTCTTCTTAATAAAAGTGAAAGGATTGTCCAAGTGCATTTCAAGATCAGGAGTGACAGCAGAGCATATCTGAAGCCTTAGAAGATGATGGAGTGGAGGGAAGTAAAGGCATGGGTGATGTCCCTTCTGTGAGCACACCATCATTTGCAGTGAGAGTAGTATGAATATAGGCTGCTGCCATTACTGTCTTTTTCTCCTTAGTTCTAAGCAGTTTAATAAACCACCTCCATTGGTTCATAAGCATTTTGAGCAATAAAGACTCAGTGACTCTCATCCCTTTTGCCCTCTCTCTTACAGCTTGCAGAGAAGCAGATCTGGCAGATATTGTATTCCTGGTGGACAGCTCAACCAGCATTGGGCCCCAGAACTTCCAGAAAGTTAAGAACTTCCTTTACTCTGCTATCTTGGGGCTTGACATCAGCAGTGACCAAGTCCAAGTGGGACTCATCCAGTACAGTGATAACATCTATCCAGCCTTTCAGCTGAACCAGTACCCTCTGAAGAGCATGGTTTTGGAGCATATACAGAATCTGCCCTACCACACAGGAGGCACCAACACAGGGAGTGCCCTGGAATTTATCAGGACTAACTATTTGACTGAGGCAACTGGCAGTCGGGCCAAGGACAGAGTTCCTCAAATAGTTATCCTGGTGACAGATGGGGAGTCAAATGATGAGGTCCAGGAGGCAGCTGATCATTTGAAAGAAGATGGAGTTGTTGTGTATGTGGTAGGAGTCAATGTCCAGGATGTCCAGGAGCTGCAAAAAATAGCCAGTGAGCCATTTGAGAAGTTTCTCTTCAACATTGAAAACTTCAACATCCTGCAGCATTTTTCAGGAAGTATTCTTCAGACTTTGTGCCCAGCAGTAGAGGGCAAAATAAAAGGTAAGAAGCTGTGTTCAAACCCAACATCCTAACCAAGCTACTTCACTGCAGTTTGAGTCAGAGTGGCCTGGGTGTGGTAGGAGGGCGAAGGGATGCCCACCATCACTAGAAAACCTGGGGAGACTTCCTAGAGGAAGGGACATCTGAGCTGAAGGCTAGATGGAGTTCTTATGGGTAGGACAAAAAGGGAAAAACACCTTACCATGTTGTACAAAGGAAACCACATGGGTTTTGAAACCCAGAAGCTCTGTTTTCTAATCTTGCCTTTGCCACTTTCTAGTTATCTGAACGTGGACAAGTGGCTTCACTTCTTTGCTTCAGTTTTCTCTTCTGTGCAAGGTGACAACATGTGTCTTGTAGAATGGCTTAGAAAGATTAAATCAGAAAAAAACTGATTTAATGTAAAATTTTATGTAAAAAACTCTATCACAAAGTAACTGCACAGCAATCATCAACTTTCCTTACCTCCTCCATTTGGTGAAGGAGAATAATCAAAACAAAGGCAGCAGCCCTTGTAATACAGTCCCATGTAGAGGTGGGGGAGGTGCAATGTATATAAGGTGGTATAAACATAGGAATTCTCCTTCTCATATTGCCCCCAGAAAACTATCTTGTATTAAATTCTCATGAAGCCTTGATTTGTTTTACTCTCTCCTCTGTGTCTTTTTTGCCTCATCCTTCTCTATTTTCAGAACTCAGTAAGGCCTATGCAGATGTGGTTTTTCTTGCTGACACTTCTCAGAACACATCATGGGACAGCTTCCAGGTGATGCGGAATTTCATCACCAGAGTGGTTGGCATGCTGGACGTTGGCAGGGACAAGTACCAGATTGGGCTGGCTCAGTATGGTGATCAAGGTCACACTGAGTTTTTGCTCAATACCTACAAGGCCCAGGATGAGATGATACTTCACATCCATGAGAACTTTGTGCCTCGGGGTGGTTCCAGACGGACAGGCAAAGCTCTGCAATACCTTTATCGAACCTTCTTCCAGGAGAAAGCAGAAAGCCGGTTTCTCCAAGGCATCCCTCAGTATGTGGTGGTCATTACCTCAGGCAAATCTGAGGATGAGGTCCGGGATGCTGCACAGACACTGAAGGAGAAAGGTGTGAAAGTCATATTTGTGGGTGTCCAAGACATTGGCAGGAGAGAACTGGAAGGGCTGGAGTCCCCACAACTCGTATTTGAGATAAAGAGAAGTGATGGAGTTGAATGGATAACACAGGATGTCAACATGGTGATCCAAGGGACTGGACAGCCAGGGATCAGGATTGAAGCCCAGGAGAGGCCAGCAGAAGGTAAAGTTTGGTACTTGGATATTTGGACCACTGGGAAATCTCAGCATAAGAGGAAATTCTGGGGAAAGGAGAGAAGGAGATATTCTTGATTCCTTAATCCTGGGGTACTAGCACGCCTGGATAGGGAAGAAGAGGAGGTGTGGGATGCTTTAGGTACATACCTCATATTCATTACTCAGGGTCATAATGATGTTATGTAGCAAACCATCTGCACAGTCTGTGGCTAAAAGAGATCATTTAAGCTCACAGACCTGCTGAGGGATAGCTGATGTTGGCTGGGCTACTTGGGATTTGGCTGGGGGTTGGTTGATCTAGGCTTGGCTGTGCTCCACATATCTCTCTTCTTCCTCCTGGGGTCATCAGGCTAATCTGGGCATATTCTTCCCATGGTAATAGCAGAGGTGAAGAGAGAAACTCGATAGTGTAGACGTTTCTGAGACCTCTGTTGCATCATCTGCTAACATTTCATTGATCAAAACAGGCTATGTTAACATCAGTAAAGTAGAAAAATACATTATTCCTATAGAAATGAGCAGTAAGGAGAGAATATTTCTGAACAGTAATATTTTCAAACTACAATGCATATTTTCCAGTCTTCTCCTCAGAGATTAATTAAAGTCCTTCCTCAGGTTGGCATTTAAGACACTTAAAAGCCATGCTAGTGGTGTTTGGCATAGGAAAATTCATAGTGTAGGATTGTCCTGTGAAAGTGTGGTTTAACATCCCTGCTACCTGGCCAGTAGCATCCCTGAATCATTATGGCAATTTAAAACACCTCCATATATTTCAAAAATATCCTTTGGAGATGGGTACCACACTGCTGTCTGAAAACCACTGAAACTTACCTTCTGCTAAGTCTTTTTATATATTCTATTCTCCAGCCAAGCTGAGCTACTCATCATTTGCTGTGCATATGTCATGCTTTCCCACCTCTATCTCTACTGTTGAATGCACTGTATGATCAGCCTGGAATGCCTGCAGTCAAAATTTACTCTTCACTTCTTAAGTTATCCTCTTGGTGAAGGATCCCTTGATCCTCACAACTAGAAGTGATCATTTTCTTCTTTCTCTGAGTTGCCACAGTTCTTCCCAGACCAATCAATAACTAGACCTTGGGATCCTTGCAATTTTATGGACAGAAAAGACAAACATATATAAGATAACTGTGTCAGTCCTTTATTAATGAGTATTATTTTAACATATAGGGAGAAGGGAGGAAGACACTCCTGGCAAGGGAAAGAGCTAGGTTAGGGGTCCACACTCCTGGTAAGGGTGTAAAAAAGTAGGAATGGTCTGGATGAATGTGGAAGAAAGTGAAAAAATGAAGCCAATTTGATTCACAGGGAGAGTTTAAAAGTAGAGATGATATTAAATTGGGTAGGATAGACCTGATTATGGAGTCCCAAAGGCATGAGAAGGAATCAGGATTTTAATCAAGAAAAATGACATGACCAGCGTGGTCTTTAAGGAAGCCTTCAGTGGGCAGGCTGGATCCTATATGGCGCCTAAGATGCAGAAAGACTTTCACACTGAGCCGTCACCTGGCTGCATAGGGAAGATGTCTGGGCCTAGTCCAGGGGTGTCCCTGATGGTGAGGAAAGAAGATACATCCTGGAGACAACTTGAAAGGAGAATAAGAGCACTTGGTTCCAGCACATGAAGGAAGGGGGAGGTCAAAGGTGTTTGGAGTTTTTAGAGAAGGTGTTCTAGACTGGCAAAAATCATGGACAACAGCCACTTTTTAAATATACGATTGAATTTTAGTCCTTTATAAAATATGACCACAGGAAGTTTCAGGACAAGGAAAGACCAAAGAAAAGTCAAAAGGTTATTCTATTGTCCCTTAACCTTGTTTTTCAATATTCAGTGGTCTATACAGTGGTTTCAGTGTGGTTTTGGCCCTCTGGAGGGAAGTTTCTTTTTTCATGAGTCAAAGCAGATCTGGACCTTGTTGGTATGTGGATATAGAGGGTTTCCCTATGTTGGGCACTGCTCAAATAGGGAAAGAGGTATCTGGATTCCTTTTGGCAGGGAGTTTATGTTTCATTCCTTCATCTGAGGCAGGTTGGAGGGAAGGTTCTTGTATAGCAAAATGAAACAGCCAACCAGCCCAATGTTTGGATAAAGATTTTTTCATAGGAACTTGCAGCATTTCACGTTGCCTCTATTAAAATGACATGACATTTATCAGAGAAAGGTGCTGAAATTAATAGCCACAATTTGTTATTTTCATCTTTTACCATGAGAGAGGGGGAAGTTTTAAATCAAGGAGGTTTCAGGTCTATAAAAGAGAGTATTTATTTTCAGGGTCTCTTGGAAATAGAAAAATGAAAGAAAAACTAGTTCAGTCTCAGATGAATTGAGAAATGGTCTTAAGGGACTATATTGTGGATAATCATGTATTTATATATTTTGCAAGTGATAAAAATACACTTCCATGTGAGAAATTTTGAAATAGTTGTGAACCCAGTGGTATTCTTTGGCCATGGTATCAAATTAAGGCTTCTACTAAATTCTAAAATGTAAGTTAGTATAATACATAATTGTAATTTATGACAATAAATATATTATGGTAGTATACAAAATACATTAAAATAGAACTTTTGGAGGACTGTTGTCTTTTTTACCCTGTTCTCATGTTGAAGCTCTTCTTTTTGACTTTGTTTGTTTACAGCATGTCCAACTGCTATCCCGGCTGACCTAGTGTTCCTCATTGAGGAATTTAGCAGAGTTAGGCAAGCCAATTTCCAACACGTCATCAATTTCCTAAAGACCACTGTCAGCTCCCTAAACACTCATTCCAATGCTGTGAGAATTGGCCTGGTCTTTTACAATGAGGAACCATGTCTTGAATTTTCTCTGGATATGTTTCAGAATCCAGCAGCAATCTTGAAGCATTTGGACAAATTAACCTACCGGGGAAAAAAACGGGGGGCAAACACTGGTGCTGCTTTGGATTTCCTAAGAAAAGAGGTTTTCATTCAGGAGAAGGGCAGCCGGTCTGACCAAGGTGTACAGCAGATAGCTGTGGTCATCACGGAAGGCTTCTCCCAAGACAACGTGTCCAGACCCGCATCTCGCCTTCGGAAGGCAGGGGTCACCATCTACGCAGTGGGCCCCCAGCATGCCTCAGGCAGTAAGGACCTGGAGAAGATAGCATCATATCCTCCTCGGAAGCATGCCATCCTTCTGGAATCCTTTCTGCAACTCTCCGTAGTGGAAAGAAAGCTTACACACCATCTTTGCCCTGAGATTGTAGTCAGCACAGTTTCTGTTTCTGGGATGGACCATGAAGAAGGTAGGAGGCCTTTTTCTGATTTGATTATGCTCATCTTCCCTACCCCTCAACAGAGAACAGATTTTGGAGTCAATTTGTTAAAAAAAAAATAAAACCCTAAAACTTTAAAATTCCTTTTTTTGTTGTTGTTGTTGATTCCAAGCATGCAAAAGAATCTGAAGTAAAAGGTGAACATCCCTAGCTCTTCCTGTCTCCCCCTCATCCCTGCTAGCAGAATGACAAAGGAGTGTATTTATAATAGAAGCCTAGGGAACTGAGTAAGGATTGAGCAATTCTTAAGTCATTTAAAGCAGGGAACTACTTCAAAAAAAAAAATACAAAGATGCTTGAGGTTTTAAAATTTTAACTTATTACATATAAATAAACATTGATTTGCCAGTCTTTTGGTGTAGGGCTAAGGCTTCTTTGAGTATGAGCCCTGCTGATTGGACTTGTGTGTATTTTCTTTGTAAACCACCCGAAAGAATATTACCTATAACTTCCAGTTTCAGTTTCTTTAAAGTGGGGAGAGGACTTAGCCACGTTTGAAACAATTCAAGTGCAGAAATTCTTACTGACTGACTTACTGATTGACAAAAAATACAATCTTTTGTAGTGCAATCTAATATGCCAACAATTTTTTTGACAACTTGCCTTTATTAAGTCTTTTCTAAGCGGTTAACCTGGTTTTCAACCATGCAATAAACTTCTTTTTGTTCACATTTGCATCTGGTTGATTTGCACAGTTTGATGAATTGTATATTTATAATAACAAAACCGTCATAAACAGACTGTGGAGGAAACCACCTCCATCTTGGTAAGCTTATTCTTCCACTAAGCAAAATAGTACATCTGGCATTTAATGTTTTGTGAGAGAATCATTCCTGTTTTTCAGGTGTAAGAGAGGTCATCATTTTTCTTTTTTCTTTTTGGTGAGTCACATGAGTGGAGGCTGGTTGGAAGAGTTCCTACTGTACATGTATTTTAAAAAATTAGAAAAAAAAATGGTTAAGTATATGCACTTCAGCATAAAAAGTACCTGAATTTTAAATCTGAAATTTGCCACTTACTGGCTGTCAAAAAATCTTTGGCTACTTGTCTATTTTTATACACCCATGCTAATATTTCTTAGATTCAAATTAGTATCGTAGATTTAAATTAGAATCATTGAAATATACATAATTGACTTAAAATTCAAGGCTGTGATTATATCTTCAGGAGAAAATCACAGAGCTTTTTATTTTTTTAAACCAAACACTAAGCAATCTTGTAATCTCCTGATTACTTGTGCTGAGGTCTAGAAATTTGACATATTGAAATAAATCCCTATCTTTCTCTTTAACCCGTATTCTTAGTACCTTTCTCCATTCAGGGAATGAGAAACAAAAATCATTAAATATTAGTTTCATTTCCTTGTATAGCCTTTGACTATATTCTGCAAAGAAGGAGAGAAAAGGAGCCCCACTAACTCACAAACAGCATGAAAAATAAAATAAAATAAAATAAAAAAACAGCATGAAAAGCTGAGAGTTGGTTTCTTTCTCAGACTGCATAGTAACTAAGAAGAAACTCAGATTCAGGAAAATTAGCCCCAAGTCTTAGGAGGGGGCTGGGCAGCTTAGCGGTCCATGGAAGCTGTGATGATTTTAGCTGAATTCTGTCCTGAATGATCACCATGAGCATAATATCTAATATCTCCCATTCAGTGGTCATTTGCATGTGTCAGCTAGTCTGTGAGGCCCTTTGTGTGTGTAGTAGACATGAATGCTCAGTAGCATCCAGCATAGAAGGTATATTTTCTTTCTCTCTTTCCTCCTCCTAATATCTTTATTGGCTAAAATTGGCAAGAAGGTACAGTGCCAGGAAGGTTCAGGGCCTTTGGCTCCCCTGGACACTGCAGAGGCCCTGGGTCATAGTGGAAGATCTTTGGGTCCCGGTTATAGGGGGCCTGGCTGCAGAGATGGTTTCCCTGCACTGTGGTCCTTTACTCTGACTCCAGGCAGCCATGTACCTGTCTGCTAGGTACAGGAAGCTAGGTTCCATCAAAGTTCAAGTTTCTGCCTTTTGTTCTTTAGTTTTTCCTTCACTCTCCAGGATTCAAAAAACACTTACTGTATATAGGGATAGATCACTCCTCTCTCTACCCCTCTAAGCTACACTCCTTTTCAATACATGTCCCTCTGGAGTAGGGTTGCCAGAAGAAATATAGGACACTAAATTAAATTTGAATTTTATTTAGGGAAACAAATTATTTTTAGGATAAGTATGCCCCATGAATGAGGGCCTGAACAAGGGAGCCCAATTCCCACTCCAGACCACTTCCCTTTCAGCCAGGAAAATGAAAAGGCTCTTAATTTTCCCCTGGGTCCAGGGAACCCAGAGACTCAGAACATAAGACTGGGTTGCCCTTTTTGAAAGGGCCAAGGAGAAAAGTATATTTCATTTCTTTTTGAGGAATCTTCTCAGTGATAAAAAATAAAACACTAGATAATCTTAACCCTACATTTTTAATACTCAGCTTTTCTGTGTTTACATGATCTTGTTTAATCCTCACAATAAACTCATTGAGTAGGTGTTAAGATCCTGGTTTGACAGATTAGCAAATTGATATGGAAGGGGGCCAAGCCTGCTAGTAGGTGGTGGAGACGGAATCTAACTGTAGAACCATTTTGCCGTCTGGAGTCTAGACTTTAATACAAAGTGACTCATTTAAGTCAGACTCACTTAGAGTTTTGAATTATTTTAAGTCAAATTATTTAAATTAATTAAATGAAATTTCAGAAAGTGCACTTTTTTGCCCATGTACTTAAAAAGTATGACTTGGACATGAGGCAGGAATGATGCATGCCAAGACAATTCATGTGACAGTTTCAAATGCAGTCTGATTTTACTTCTACTTGCTTCTCAACATCCCCACTTGAGAAAAGTAAAGTTTTATTTATGTGGCGTCTTAAATGGGGTTTATCAGAAATGGACTCTGAGATAAGAGGTTTTTTTTTTTTCCAGTTTTCCCATTTTTATTTCAAATTAATATGAGGGTACAAAGTTTTAGGTTACATTGTTCTCATTTCTAGAGTCAAGTTCCAGTTGTAAAAGAGCCCTTCGCCCAGGGGGTGTGTTATACACCCTCACAATGTGCACGTTAGGTGAGATCCAGCCTCATGCCCTCCCTCCTTCTGCCAGTCGGCCTCCCCACTCCCCCTTTCCCTCTCCTGCCTCCCTCTACCCCTGTACTAGACTATATTTGTGTTTTATTGTTCATAGGAGCATAGAATTGTTTATATATTTGAGATAAGAGTTTGGATGCAAATGATTTATCTATGTGGTGATCCTTGGGGACATTTGTAGGGGTGTGGGATTCAAGAATGGGAAGGGAAGGTGTCATTCACCTTGTGGACTTCAGTCAATACAGAATGAGGGGTAACTTACAGGCTATTGCTGCAGGCAGCTGGGGCCTCCGGGAAACTGTAGGATTCACCTCACAGTTGTGCTACACAAAGAGCAAGGGAGCTGGGGTGTTTGTCCACCAACTTCTTCCCCTTATTGGTTAGAGGATGCTTCGAACTCACTCCAGGGCTTTCTGGTCTGCTCAGGGTGCAGCCTGATCATGCTCCTGGCCAAAGACGACCCTTAGGCATAGTCTCAAGTGCTTTTAAAGGAATCCTGAGGGCAAAGGGAAGACAGGCGGAGGTTGGGTTCTGGAGCTTTGGGTGTATACTGTCTCAGACTCTGTTCTAATGAGTTTTTGCTGTTTCTCATTCTCTAGATTGTGTACATATTGAAAAGGCAGATATTTACTTCCTTATTGATGGATCTGGAAGTATCTACCCGGAAGATTTTCTTGAAATGAAGGTATTCATGAATGAAGTGATAAAGATGTTCCAGATCGGGCCTGACAGAGTACAGTTTGGAGTTGTTCAATACTCAGATGAAATTAAAAGTAAATTTATCCTCAGCCAGTATTCTAGTGCGGCAGGGCTGAAGGCAGCCATTGATGCCATCCAGCAGGGGGGAGGTGGCACCACAACAGGTGAGGCCCTGGGTAACATGATTCAGATCTTTGTAGACACTGCCCGGATCAATGTTACTCAATATCTCATAGTCATCACTGATGGTCAATCTTCAGACTCTGTGGCTGAGGCTGCAGAAAGATTGAGGAACCGTGGAGTCATCATTTATGCTATTGGAGTAAGAGGAGCTAACATTGAGGAGCTTAAGGAAATAGCTGAAGATAGGAATTTTTTCGTGAATGAGTTTGATTTATTGAAGAACATCCAAAAAGAAGTGATACGGGACATCTGCTTCTCAGACAGTAAGAATTTTTTTCTTCAATCTCTTCCCTCCTTACCTCCCCCACCCAAGCATATGAGTCTAATCTATTTGGATGAACTTCATTCTTTAAGCCTAGATTCCCTAGTTGTTAACTGAGTATTGAACATATTCAAAGTGACCATGACCTAGCAAACAAAGATGGTCACATTTCATATGTTTACCATATAGCTATGTCTTATTTTGAGACTAGTCTGTGCTGACTTGTGGAAAATTTGTTCTTTGCCTCATTGAATTCCTCTTCCACTCCCTTTTAAAATATTGTTTCATGTTGTGTATATCCCACCCCAGACTGTCCTTGGGGACTTGTACTTAATTTGTTTCAGACTCTTAATGAATGTTCTGTTTTGTTCCCTTTTCCCCCAGCCTGTAAGAATACAAAAGCTGACATTATCTTCCTGATAGATGGCTCAGAATCCATCTCCCCCGAAGAATTTGAAAAGATGAAAGGATTCATGGAGAGAATGGTGAACCAATATAATATTGGTGCTGATGAAATTCAGATTGGTCTTTTGCAGTTCAGCTCAACTCCTCAGGAAGAATTCAGACTCAACCAGTACTTTTCAAGGGAGGACATTTGCAAAGCCATCTCTAAGGTTCAGCAGATGAATGATGGCACCCGCACTGGGAAAGCCCTGAATTTCACTCTACCTTTTTTTGACAGTTCAAGAGGAGGGAGACCCAGTGTTCACCAATATTTGATTGTGATCACTGATGGGCTTGCCCAGGATAATGTAGCCATCCCAGCCAAGGCCCTCAGGGACAGAAACATAATTATTTTTGCCATTGGGGTGGGAGAAGCCAAAATATCTCAGCTTTTGGAGATCACTAATGATAAGGACAGAGTGTACCATGACATAAATTTTGAGTACCTACAGGACCTGGAAAAGGAAATGCTTCAGAAGATCTGCAGTCCGCAAGGTGAGTGACAATTTGTTATTTGATCCATAAGTTCATTGTTGGTGGCCTTAAGGGATCTCATTTGCTCACGTAATAAAATAAAACTGATCTTTCCAGCTGGGCAAGGAGGAGAGGAGGAGATAACCCCATACGATCTGAACTCCTGACCTTCTCCTGGGGATTTTTAAAATCTTTCCTGTGGTTGTCACCATTTTGGCTTCTTGGAGTCTGGACCATCTCAGAACTCTATCTTCATAAAGTCCTTACAACTCCTACCTTTATTTCTATAGCATAGACAAAACCAGACTGGAATGTGTAAGGACAAGTCCCTGAAGGTTTGGGCATGTCTGAAAGGAAATAGAAGCAGGGAATATTATCAGTTAGACACTCTCTCTTATAGAATAGAATACACTGTCTTTTCTATGAGGCTCCATAATGGTGTCTCCACTCCATTGTCAATCTGCTTCCATGTGGCTGAGGCTGTCCTTAATCCCAGTTTGTATTGTTAAGCTTTTATCCCAAACATCAAGGGCCACATGAACTACTGTTCTTCCTCTTGACAGTCTGAGTCTCTTTTTCTGCTCTTCTTTCCCCAAGACTTGCATTTCAGGGGGGAATTGACCCAGTGAAGGTCTTCATGGAAGACTCCACCAGGTACCCACCTGGGGTAAGATTCTATAGCACAGCTACTAAACTTTGTATGGTGCTTTTCTGAATGGTGGGAAGGGAGGAAGTGTTCCATGGACTTTCATATATTGAAACATATAATCTTTTCTTTTCTTTCTTTCTTTTTTTTTTTGAAGCAGAGTCTTACTTTGTTGCCCTGGGTAGAATGCCATGGCATCGTAGCTCATAGCAACCTCAAACTCTTGGGCTTGAGCAATCCTCTTGCCTTAGCTTCCTGAGTATCTGGTACAACCAATGTGCACCATTACACTTGGCTAGTTTTTCTATTTTTAATAGAGATGGGGTCTTGCTTTGCTCAGGCTGGTCTTGTACTTGTAAACTCAAGCAATCCACCTGCCTTGGCCTTTCAGAGTTTTAGGATTACAGGTGTGAACCACCATACCTGGCTGAAATACGTAATCTTTATAGAACCCTATGAAATAAATACTATTTTATAGATAGGAAACCAAGACACAGCAAAATTGTGTTCTTTGGCCTAAGTTAATAGCAGAGTTGAGTTTAGAACTTGAGCCCATCTGATTTTAGAGTCTGTGTACTAAATACTGTACTATCTGTATGGTATAGTGAAGCATAATACATTAGATGGTACACATTCATCTCATATAGGTATTCATATCAATCTCATGTGAAGCAGATGCTATTATCATGATACCCAATTTTCAAATTTTAAAACCAAGGAAGAGAAAGGGTAAGAATCATAGATGGGAAGTAATAGAGGCAGGGTGTGTACTCCCCAGTAGTGTGGTGTCAAAGTCCAGGCACCAAGCTTTATATATACATATGAAGCCTCCTTATGAGAAGCTGGGCCCCAGTGTGGGCCAGGTTTTATTCTGGAGGGTAAGGCCTAATTATGGAGGACTAGGATGAGATCTCTGCATCCCATCAAACCATTAAAGTCTAATTTTCTAGAACACTAAATTAATATTTTTGTTTATGCTGTTTAAAGAATATAACTACTTTGTAGTAGCCTAACTAAATTTGGAAATCACTTAAAAAGAATGCATGTGCATAATTATTTTTAAAATAAGCATGTATTATGGGATGTCCTACATTAAGCAGTTCAGATTCTTCAGGTATCAGAGTCCTATTTTTATTTATGTACAGGTGGGCACTACTTTGGGGAAGAAAAGGGGTATGGGATTGCAGCTTTTCTTTTCAGTTCATGTAGTAAGTTAGGATTTATGTTCATCTATGCTTTGTCTTTAACTTTTTTGATGAAATTAGCTAGACAATTTAATAAAGGCTGGAACCTAATTAATTATGGAATTCTAGAATCATAAAGCTGAAAAAGACCCTAGAGATTACCTGGCAAGTTTCAATCCTCTCCATTAATAAGAAAAGAAATTGCTCCTTGCATTTGTCAATTACAGTCTAAAGCCAGCTGGAAATGTTCCTGGGGAAAATGCAAATTAGAAATGTTGGAACAATATACCACACCGCAGAAGGGTAATTCCTCTTTTCGGAAATTAGGCCCAATAGAGGAATGGGATTTACATTTGTGAAAGTTCATTTTCATGAATTTGAACTATAGATTTAAAAAACAAACAAACACACACACAAGCTATTTTATATGAAAGGAAGAGAAAAGGGCATTTTCTGTTTTGGCAATGCCAGAAATATGTCTTACCAGGTAGCATGAAATATAATAACCAGGAAATTGAAATCTCAAGGCTCAGTCCTGGATCTCAGGTCCTTAAGCTACTGTCAGTGACCTTTTTCACCAGAGAAGGATCCTCTACATATTTACTTCCCCCCACATTGCCTTCCCAACTGTGCTGTTCTGTTTTCACAGATTCTGATACAAGTTTATAGATTCTGAACCAAATATTCCAATATGTTATAGTTGAAGGAGAAAATGTCTGTATGTCTTAGCTTGTCTCAGGCAGGCCTAATTATGCTTGTTGTTCAGAAGTTGTTAACAATCATGCCCTTTTATGATTAAGTTACATTTTAATTCATTCAACCCAGTTCTGACTCCTGTGTGTCTCTGATCATGAACAGTTATATCCTTGGTGGAATTTTGTGGATGGTCTTACCTGTGAACGAGTATGTAGGTATAACCTGAAATACTAATGGGCTTCTCATTCTGGATAAGACCTTCCCAGGAAAGCTTAACATTTTTCAGACAGAAGAAATAGAAAATTGGGAGCACTACTATGAAACCAATTTATAACTTTCATATGAAAGCTATAACCCAGTTATAGCCCAAGAAGAAGGGGCAAGGAGAGAGGGAGAGAGGGGAGGAGGGAGGATAGATGGAGGAAGGGTAATTGGTGGGACCACACCTACGGTGCATCTTACAAAGGTACATGTGAAATGTACTAGGTGTAGAATATAAATGTCTAAACACAATAACTAAGAAAATGCTGTGAAGGCTATGTTAACCAGTTTGATGAAAATATTTCAAATTGTACATAAAACCAGCACATTGTACCCCATGGTTGCATTAATGTACACAGCTATGATTTAATAAAAATAAAAAAAAAAAAGAAAATTGGGAGCAGTTTTCTCCTGACCGTTCCTCACATGCTCCCATGCCCCTAAAATGAGGCATATGTATGGGTGGTGAATGAGGAAAAAAAGTTGAGAGGAGAGAAAAACAGTTACAGCGATTGCTGGAGGAGACTCAAGGCTCATTTATAGTCCTTTCTTCATTTATCTATCAAACACTTAATGAGCATCTGTATTAGGCAATGGGAAAATTAGATGATAACAGTCTCTATGATATATCAAGGAGTCCTTGTTTAGTGGGGTAGAGGTTGAGTAAATAACAGTGGACATACAGGAGCATTAAGTAGATTAACCTGAGCAGGACAGGACAAGTATGAGTCACCCAGATTGGAGTGGGAGGATGGGAAAAGACACTTTAGGTAGAGGAAATAGGATCAGCTGAGCTTTCCTGGGAAGGCCTTATCCAGAATGGGAAGGCCCATTAATATTTCAGCTTATACCTACATACTCTTCTGTAACTGATAGAACAGTATGTATTGTATTAGTTAGCTCTTGCTCTGTAATAAACAATCCCAATACATAAACAATCACCACTGTTTAGCTTATATTTCTATGGGTTGGCTGGGGATTGGGATACATTTTTCAGAGTTGTCTGGGCTCAGTTATGCATTTGTAAGTGACTAATTTCCTCTTTCCTACCTTCAAAGGATGCAACATGGATTTATTTGTTGGAATTGATATCTCTACTCCTTCAAAGCAAGTTCAGCAGAACAAGCTTCTCAGGTTACTGCCAGAGCTGATGCAACAGCTGGCCTTGCTTTCTAACATCAGTTGTGGCATTCCTGGTCACATCAACCCGAGGTTCCGCTACATGGTTCCTGGCTCAAATGGACAGCTTATCTATGACTCAGGCTTTGAGCAATACAGTGATGAGATCTTCCAGAAGCTCTTGGCCAATAATAACTATCTGGATGTGAATTTTTTGCAATCCCTGGGAGATAATGCTATCAATCTCTCTTCTGCTAAAGTAAAGGTAATAAATGCTGAGAACCTGTACTAGGGAACCATCGGGAAGGGTAGGGTGCAGAAGACTTTTGTGAGAGAGGCCAACTAAATTGTTCTTCATTGGAGATCTTACACAGAGGAAAACCATACTCTTAGACAATAAGAACCAACAAGAGATCTGTTTTCATTCAAAGATAAATATATTTTTAAGCCTTAGAGTTTCTGTGCTGGTAGGGATAAAATAAGAAAGTACACGTCCACAGTTTAGTGATTCAAATTCTTTCCATAACATATATTTATTACACAGACAACTTAGAAGGTGCTCTAAGACTCCTTAGCTTTTTATAGTAACTCATTGCCATTGAAAGTAGGCTTGTTATTTTTTGGTAATCATCTTGAACTGTCTTTAGTGACAGCTAATGGCTTACTAGAGCAGCCCACCCCTCAAGACTCTTCCTCTCTTCCTTCTGCCTATGAATAATATACCCACAAAAGTCCACAGAGATTGAAAGATTTCATTTGGTGTTTATTAGGAAATTATGTCCCCAAACTTTATAACTTACATTTAGTTTTTCCTTTAATTATGCATCCCAATGGATTTCTTATTGGGTAATATCATTCATGTGTGAAATTAAAAATTTTTAAGGGCAAACACATTTTAGTGGTGGAAAATGTATTACCAAAATGTAACAGAGCATAACAATAACCACCCTCCACATCTCTTTCTCCCTCCCTCCTCTATGGTGTGGACTTTGCATGCATGCACACACCTCTGTTGACATTTTTGTATTTTTTGTGTTGATAAAGATGGATATTGTAAGAATTTTTGGAAGATATTCTTAAGTAAATGGGTTAAGGCTGTTAATTTTGTTGTTGTTGTTGTTCATGGGGAGGGGGAGGTTGAAATAAAAATGAATGCGTGATAAATAAATGAGTGAAAAGGAACAGGGTGAAAGGGTGAGCACTACAAGAAAAACTCACTCTTGTATTTTTAAGAAATGTGTAATTTGGCTCAGTGCCTATAGCTCAACAGCTAGGGTGCCAGCCACATATACAGGAGCTGGCAGATTCAAACCCAGCCCAGGCTTGCCAAACAACAATGGCAATTATAACACCAACAAAAACAAATAGCCGGGCGTTGTGGTGGGCACCTGTAGTCCTAGCTACTTGGGAGGCAGAGGCAAGAGAATCTCTTAAGCCCAAGAGTTGGAGTTTGCTGTGAGCTGTGATGCCATAGTACTTTACCAGGGGCAACACAGTGAGACTCTGTCTAAAAAAAAAAAAAAAAACAAGAAAAGAAACATATAATTTATGGCATCTACTTTCTCCATTTGTCCTCCCCTCTCCCCTCCCTCGTACCTCCCTGTCTGCTCTCCCCACCCCTGTCTTTCATAAACAACAGGTCCTTTTAGTATTTACAGATGGACTGGATGATAATTTAGAGAGACTGAGGAGGACATCAGAGCTTCTGCACAGCAGAGGTGAGTGCATGGAGGGGCCTCACTCCTCCCACAGGGCTGACACTCTCTGTTGGCTTGCCAGGTGGCTTGCAGCCCTACGGAGCTTCCTGTGCGCCTGCCTATGGGTGGAGCTCAGTGCCCATGAGGCTGATGCCAGGGGATTGTTTGAGGCTAAGAAACCACTTACCTCAAAGTCCCCAACACTGACCAAGAGTCTTCTGACTGACATGACTTGCTTCTGAGGGTGAGAGATTGAAGGTACACCTCTTCAAAGATGAGTAGGGGCCGTTTGCACTTTTAGGCCCACCAGGGGTCCATATGTCATTTTTTACTAAACTCTGGGGTCATCCTGAATCTAGATTGCTTTTTGCTTTTTGCTCTGTGATTCCCCCATCTTCCCTCATCTTTGCTCTCCAATTCTTCTTCCTTCTCCAGCTCCAAGCGTTCCTCTGCTAATCTATATGACCTTTGTGAAATTGGAAAAAGTCACCCAATATACTAGGAGGATGCAAGGCTGTGCCTGGGCTGCTGGAGGGGTGTGCTGGCTGGTTATGGACATGTGTTAGTTCTCTCCCATACATAGTGGCTTTAACTCTTCCCATTTTATGCCAGGTAAAGGCTCTACAGCAAACTCAAAATGAACAACCAACAGCTGGACTTATTCAAGTTCCCTACACCATTCTCCTTTCTCAGTAGAATATATTCAACATATTTTGCCGGGGATGATGTTTTTCATTGGTTAATGATGTGCTGAAGTATTTTTTATGACAACTTGCTTCCAACTGAATTTAGTGCATAGATTGCCACTGGAAGTTTACATTGTTGCAACTTTTCTGAAAAGGATTTGGAAGTATGCAACACAAGACTGTAAACTTTGCCTACCTGGAAATTTCATCCAGGAATTTAGTTTTAAAGAATAATTAAGACTACGAGACTGAATGTGGTGGCTCAGGCCTGAGCTATGGCACTTTGGGAAGCTATGGCAAGAGGAGCCCCTAAGGACAGGAGTTTGAGACCAGCCTGGGTAACCTAAGGCAACCCTGTCTCTGCAAAAAAGTTTAAAAAGCACAGTGAGTGTGGTGGTGTGCACCTAAAGTCCCAGCTACTTGAGAGGCCGAGGCAGTAGGATCATTTGAGCCCAAAAGTTTGAGATTGTAGCGAGCTATAATCGTGCCACTGCACTCTACCCAGAATGATAGAAAGAGACCCTATCTCTAAGGAAAAAAATACATATGTACACAACTTTTAACCACATTGCCAAGCAACTGTTTTCAGTAACAAAAAGTTGATTTCTGTATCTGTGCCATGAATTTACTGTTCAAATTATTAACAATAATATTTGTTCTGAAATTCAATGAACATTGTGATTTCTATGTGAATTTCCAGAGTCCTTGTTAATTTTTTCTCTACTTTGTGGACAAATCCAGATGATTTTTTAATGTCTACATTAGATGGATGGGCCAGATTATGGAGCAATAACAACCTTAGCATCTCAGGGACTTATAGTAGTGAGACTGTATTCATCTCATGTCTTCTGCTCATCACTCAAAGACCCCAGGAAGGTCTATCCCAACAGGTGCTGCTGTACTTGCTGTGTTGGAGAAAGGAAATAAGGCAAATAGTACATTCCTCTTACAATTTCTCTCAGGAGTGACACACATCTCTCCTGCTCATGTTTCATTGTCCAGAGTGAGCCATATGGCCACTTTTAACTTACATAAGATAGATAATGTTTTACAGGTAGGGAGTTGAGGCTCAATGAGAGTTTATAACTTTCCCAAAGAAATGCAATCCTATCCTTTAAGAAGGGAGCCAGAATATTTGTGAATAGCCACAATGACTGCCACAATTTCTAAGAGTAAACCACAAAGGATAGGTTTAAAATGAAGTAATGTCATATAATAAGAGTCGAAAACCATGACAAAATGGGAGCTATAAGAGAGCTAGGATGGTCATTTGTGGTTCCACTTAATTGCTTAACTTTCAGTTGGTGGGATTAGAAGGTATCAGACTAAATTCTTTTTTTTTTTTTTTTTGAGACAGAGTCTTACTTTGTTGCCCTTGGTAGAGTACCATGGCATCATAGCTTACAGCAATGATGTAAAACTCTTGGGCTGAAGTGATTCTCTTGCCTCAATCTCTCAAGTATAAGGAACTATAGGTGCCCATGACAAAGCCTGGCCATTTTTAGAGACAGGGTCTTGCTCTTGCTTAGGCTGGTCTCAAACCTGTGAGCTCAGGTGATCCACCCATCTCGGCCTCCTAGAGTGCTAGGATTACAGTCACAAGCCACCGTGCTCAGCCTCAGACTAAAATGTTTAATGAGACATACCATGAACTAATTTTGATTTTAACAAAAATGCAGTCTTAAAAAAGACAATTGAAGGATATGGGATGATGGCTTGATGGGTGCATATCTGGGACTGAGACAGACAGACCATTCAAAATAGATGCAAATAAATCTAATAAATCTCCCATCTGTTGAAATTTTGAAGGATTGTCTGGACTTGTAGTCGTTGGCCTGGAAGGTGTGCCTAAATTAGAAGAGCTCCAGGAGCTGGAGTTTGGCAGAGGGTTTGCCTATAGGCAGCCTTTGAGCATCACACTGCAATCCCTCCCAACTGTCTTACTGAAGCAACTTGTAAGTACTTTTTAAGAACACCATCCTTCAGTAGGTCCTTCCAATTACGATCATTTTAAAAACATTGAGAGAATTTTGTTTTCTTAGTGTATAATGTGGTGCAGGCTAACACAGATGAGGGAAATCGTATCGGGTATGGATTCTGTTTTCCAGGACACAATTGTAGAAAGAACATGCTGCAATATGTATGCAAAGTGTTTTGGAGAAGATGGGCACAGAGGTGATGTTGGGAGTCCTGGGAGGAAGGTAAGAATTGGCTGGGTGTGGGTAGGGGGAGGGAGAGAGATGATATTTCAGTAACCACTGCACACCAGGATCTGTGTTATATATTTAACATTTTCTAACTTTACCTTCTTAATAAACCTTTGAGTAGATGTTATTTTTTTTTCTTTCTTTTTTAAAAAATTTTTTAATGTTAGGGATTCATTGAGGGTATAAGAAACCAGGTTACATTGATTGCATTTTTTAGGTCAAGTCCCTCTTTGAGTAGATGTTATTTTATATTTGTGAAATTGGGGCTCAGAGAGCAATGCCACTTTCCCCAAATTGCAGTTATGAAGATGCTTTTGGGATTTTACTCTGTGTGTCTACCTGATTCCAAATCCTGTATTCTTTCCACCATATTATGCTGCCTACTTATGTTTATCTGGCAAATAATGTCACAAATTCTACCACTGTACAGAATTTATCACTTAGGTAACAAATGCTCACTTATCCAAAATCTGCTTCTTTACAGGAGTTAAGTGCCTCTTTCCTTTCTATGGAGCATTCTTTTTTATAGCATCAAACTCTGACAAAAGACATAATCACTAGTTTCATGTAGCAGTTAATTTGCATTTCTGGTAACTCCAGGTTAACTGATAGGAAAGTTACAACTTAACACTTCATTAGAAATGGTCTGCAGATATCCAGGGCTAGTCAGGTTCCATTCTCACAAGGAGGACAGTTTTATGATGGGGGTGTAATCTCAGACCTTATGGAAGGTGGAGTCAAACCATTGACTTTGGGCCATTGTTTTACATGTTATCTCCGGAAGGTTTACCGCAGAGGAATTGGAATGAGTTCTATGTGGCTTTGGAGATAAATCTTTTTTTTATTTAGACTAGTATTGTTATAATTACTTTAAAACAAAACTTTACAATTACTTTAAAAAACAAATTATAGTTATACCTTAGCATTAGATTTTCTCTCCTCATATTGTTCTTTAATGTCAGGTTGCAGAATAAGGAAACCATGTTTGGGAACTTCTTAACATGTATGCGATTTATTTATTTGTTTATTTTTGGCTGCTCAGTGACCTTGCTTCCAAGGCCAAGGATGGCAATGTTTAAAATTTTTGACTTCTCTGCCCTTTCTGTTTATGGGAATTCAGTAGTTTGTTGCATCTACTTTCATATCTTGGTTGATCATAAATAAAATATGCTTTCCAGAGCACATTGACCAGTTTTTAGACTAAATAAAAACATCTGGTTATAAAATGGCAAGCCCAAACTTTCTTGGGAGGAAATAGTTTGTGTGTTTAGATATGTAAGAAGAAGTTGAAAAAAGAAGAAACTGGATAACTGAGTCATACAGAAATAAGCAAACATTCATTAGTAATATGGGCAGAAAGACCTTTGCTTACAAATGTTTCATAAAACAAGGTCCAAACACTCTTTTAGAGTAATAGCTTTCCTTAAGCTTTTAACTAGAAATTAGGCTTGGTTTGGATTTTTATCCAAAAAGGCATTTTTTAGAAATAATGTACTATTGTACATTATGGTGAAATAGTACATTATGAAAATAGTGTACTATTCATTGAACTGAATAGTCAGTTCAATGTACTGACGTTAAGAAACTGGTATTCCCATTTTCACTGTAACGTAGGCCAAGAATATTTGTTTCTATCTATCTCTGAGCATTGTGCCTAATAGTACATTCTCAATAAAATGTCAACTCAATGAGAAAAGGAGATCTATTAGTAACAATTTTAATTTTTTCATAGATTTGAGAAATAAAGAATTTAGAGTCCAAGTTATTTATTTTGATTTCTTATCTTCTCAGGGAGAGCTGGGTTTTGATGGATTACCTGGTCACCCTGGTGAAGAAGGTGGACATGTAAGTACTGAATCTTTTTTCTTGGAAAGGATGTGGTAAGATGGGTCAAATGATAGCAATACTTAATTACACTGAGGTCATGAAAGTTTTTCTCAGCTATGCCATTTACAGCGGGTTTAAATATCTATTTATTATAACAAATGTTGGACAAATACACTTCAAGATATAGTTCCTAGTTGGTGTTTAATGATGAAGTATGGCTGTTGCATTTTTTAATCAGTGAATTTGAACCAACTGAAATGCTTTGTGAGTGTTTTGTGTCTAATGTGCAGCCACATATGAGTAATTGTGAATTATGAGATAAACTGCAGGTAATTTGTTGTTGTTACTAAGCTACCCATGTTTATAAGTGGTTTAACAAAATACTTAGAAGAGAATCTAAGACCATTCTTATTATGGGTCACTCACATGCCTTCCTGGGTGGCTGAGAAGGTGATGCAATTATAGTTAATCACCAATGGTTAGCACATAATCACCTGGCCAAACCACTGGGAATATGATGGGCAAGCAGAAGTTATCTACCACGTGACTATTAGGGGAGAAAGCATGTGCTATAGAGAGCATCGTGAGGGAAGGGACTGTGATGCAGTGGGACCATATTTTTTACATAATATAAACAACAGAAGGATATAAAACTCCATGGTTTTCAGTTAATTTTAAATTATGGAAAATTACTTTCAAGGTTGATTGGTGTATATACCACTGGTTCTCAAACTTTTTGGCCTCAGAATACCTTTATACTCTTTCCCCTCTCAGCTTTATTGCACTGTAAATGACAGATCACATTGTATAATTTAAGATGTACAATGTGATGAGTTGATAAGTGTTCGTACTGTGGAATGATACTACAACCAAGTCAGCTAATGTGTCCATCAACCCACATAGTTACCTTTTCTGGAGGAGATGAGAACATTTAAGATCTACTTTTTTATCAAATTTCCAGTCTATAGTACAGTATTATTAACTATAGTCACCACGAACGGACATCGGAGCCCCGGAATATCATCTCTCCATTTTCCCCATTCCTCAACTTTTACCCTCTCAACAATTTTTGAGGCCCTTAAAAAGTCTTTATGTGGCTTCAATCTATTGCTGTTTTCTGCATTAGAAATTTAAAGTGAAAATTTAAAAAATTATTTATTTATTATCTTATTTCAAAATTTAAAAACCCACTAAAGTTAACATACATGTACATGACATAGTCCTTTGTGAAAAATAACTATGGTTTCCAAAAGAATAAAAAAACAAACTATGTTTTCCAAAACTATCTTTCCTGTGAAAAGCCATCCACAGGACAACTCATAGGTATTGTTTTACCTATGTAGTTTATTAGAAAACAGCTGGATTTGCATATCTGCCTCTGCATCCAGTCTGTTGTGATGTCACTTGCAGTGTGGCCTCTTATAAACTCTACCACACACTTGAGAGAGAAGAAGAGGAAAAGAAGAAAATAACATTTCAGTGTAATTAGGAAAATAATGGCTCTTCTGAAAAGATATTAGGGACATGAAGGGCCTTTGACCACACTTTCCGAACCACTGGTATCTGTGTTCTCTTTGCTATGGTAAGCAGAAATTAGAGAAAAATGCAACGGTCGAGATCCACACAAGGCAACCCATTTCTTTGATTATGTTTATAGGAGAATTGCTCAACTTCAGGAATGTGAATGGTGAATTTTCCCTATTTTGTTTAGAAATAATAAAAATATTTCTTCCTGTTTTTATGATGTTTTTTAATGACCTTCAAGTGTTATTTTATCTTTTCTGCTGGGCGGATGGGTCAATGAGCCCAGCCAAAGTGAGGAGAATGAGTTAAGATCCATCCAACCCATTAGGGTCATTGGCTCTAGTTTCAGACAAATAGGATAAGCAACACTTTGTCAGTCTAGGATGAGAAATGATTTTGTCCCTTTTCTCTACTGCCTTGTCTTCATAAAACAAACCATTTTTTATGATTTAATATTTATTTAATTAGCTTTAGTTATTTAAAAAGTATTCATACAGTAATACTCTGTGGAAGACTTTTTACCACATATTATGATGGCATAATATGAGAATTATCCTGAGACTAATTAATTTAAATAGGAAACCACAAATTTTGTTTTGTTTTGTTTTTTCTTTTATTAAATCGTCACTTGTACTTTAATGCAATCATGGAGTACAATGTGCTACTTTTATATACAATTTAAAATATTTTCACAAACTGGTTAACATAGCTTTCATGGCATTTAAACCAAGATATTTTATAAAGATTTCCCTGGTACAGAGCTGTTAATATAATGCAAGTGGCTTTATAATTTTAAATTTTACAGTAGCTACCTTAATTCAAGTGAAGTTAACCTTAATAACATGTTTTACTTAACCCAATGTATCTAAAATACTATTATTTCATTTGTAACTAATACAAGAATTAGTGAGACACTTTACTTTTAAAAAATACCCCATCTTCTAAATGTCACTTTACACTCATAGCACATATCACTTTGGACCATTTTAAGCGTTCCACAGCCTCTGTGGCTAGTGGGCACTGCATTTGACAGAGTGCTATAGTCGTCTCAGTTTCTTTTTAATGTGTTTCCCACAAGAGAAGGTGACTTCACAATGTGTTGTCCTGTGAATGGCTTTCCATGTCATTTCCCTGAAGAGCAGGGCAAATTGGTCTGCTCAGCAGCAGAGTCAACTCTGTGTAGTTGGGTTGGTTTCAGAATGGGGCCTGTACATTTGTAAGTCCATATTGAAAATGTAAAAAGGACAAAGAACTAACTCATTGTTCTAGTTATCTAAAACCAACCGCTCCTTCCCCAAGTCCCCCACAACCTAGTGATGTAAAATAATAATTTTGTTATGTTCACAGACCATGGCTAGGGAAACCAAAAAAGAGTAGGGCAATTCTTTTCTGGAGTCTCAGCTGGGTTAACTAGATGGTCCTGGGCTTTAGTCTTTCTCCACTGCTAAGGTGGCCAATTCTGTCCCACATCGTGTGCCTGGGTTGGAATGATGAGGACAGGTGGAGCTGGACCTGAGAATGAGCACTCCAACAGGGAAGGTCTGACCCACAGTGAGTGTTCCCAGAAACCAAGGCGAACCAGCAAGGCTCTGGCCAAGCCTCAGAAGTCAGCTAGTAGCATGGCTTTCTCATTCTGTTGATTGCAAGCCAGTCACCAAGTCCAGACCAGAATCAAGGGGAAGGAAATTAAACTCCTTCTCTGGGTAATGGCAAGGCAAGGTCGAGTGCATATTGAATGAGAAATAGTGTTGTCCAGCTTTGGAAAATATAACCTGCTAGACTCAATAATTCTGTATATTTAAAAAATTTATCTCAGTGTTTTAAAGAATAACTTATACATTGGTTATACATCAAAGCCTTAGTTAGAGATCCAAGTGGGATTATCTAAGATTACAAAAAATATTTATTTAATTTGCAACAAAACCTTCTAACATTTGTTGAGAGCGTTATATATGTATATGCCAGACATAGGGCTAAGTATTTTATATGTTTCCTCATTTTATATATGCATTTCTTATAAAATAATTTCATTTTTCCTGTTTCTTATAATTTAAATCAGCCAAGCGGTTGAAAAGCTTTTGGTGGTATTACTCTTTCCATTAAGTCATGGTAATTACTTACAACTTTAAGTAACAACTGTGAATAAATGAAAGGCCAATTTTTAAGCATGATACAGCTAATGTTTAATGAAAAACACATTAAGCCCAAATTTTGTTCTTCAAACAATTTAACATATGTGCCCCTATATAAGACGATTCCCATTTCCTCAGGAGAACATCCTAAAAAGTGTTTTTTCCCCCAATTGGAATTTTTAAGGTTTGAGGGATGTGGGTGAAATAGACAAATGTTATTTATAATATTTAATTTGTTTAGTTATACATAAGCATTTAAAAATCTTTTATTAGGTATAATTATATACTAAATTAGACATACTGCTTTTTTTCCCCTCTCTGCTATTTTATCAAACTATTTCATTAAAAATTCTTCCCATGTAGTTTTTATCTCAGTTTCTTCATCCTTACTGGAGCTACTTCTTGGAAACGTCTCTCCCCGTTTTCTAGACTATATTATGTTCACTTCTGCCTAAGTGGATTAAGATAAACCACTTTTAAATCTATTTAGGAAGACTGTCACAGCAAATTTTATTGAAAGCTCCCAAACCCCTTTGTCTCACTTTTCTTATAGGAATATATCGTATGGTTGCCACAGTGTGATCATGACTTTTATTGCTTATGAAAGTGACTTTAAAAGTCTTGTTTGCATGGAATTCAAAACTTATAATCGGGAGGTTTCACCCTCAAATATCTGAAATAGATTTCTGTTGGATTTCTTCACTGAACTGATCTGGTAGGTGATCTCCATAGCACTCCATGAATATTACAAGTTAATACTGATCGTGTGTCAGTACTATGCTGTTCACTGTGAAGAAATGCAGAGAGTACTCTCAAACAGGAGAAACGGCGAAGACCTTGTGAGGACTCACATTTAAGACTACGTTTTTCCCCCCTGAGGACTAACTTTGGGAAAACATACTTAATCTTTTATGTATAGCAACTGAAACTTTAGAAACTGGGAATAGAAGTCACAAAAGGGAGTTTATTTCATTTTGTTCACATTGTTCTTTTTTTCTGCTATTTTTTTTTAGCTGGGCTGGGTTTAAACCCGCCCCCTCTGGCACATGAGACCAGCGCCCTACCCTTTTGAGCCCCAGGAGCCGCCCTACATTGTTCATAATTGTTCTAAATTGTGGCAGAATACATATACCATAAAAATTACCATCTTAACTACTTTTAAGTGTACAGTTTAGTGGTATTAAGGACATTCACATTTTTGGAACCATGACCACCATTCACCTCCAGAAATCTTTTCATTTTGCAAAAGTAGAACTCTGTATACATTAAACATGGACTCCCTTTTCCCCCAGCCACTAGCAACCACCCTTCTATGAAAACCGTCTTTATGAATTTGACTCCTCTAGGTACCTCATGTAAGTGGAATCATACAATATTTGTATTTTTGTGACTGGCTTACTTAGCGTAATGTCCTCAAGGGTCATCTGTGACAATGTATCATGAGTCAGAATTTTCTTCCTTTTTTTTTTTTTTTTTTTTGAGACAGAGTCTCACTCTGTTGCCCTGGTAGAGTGCCATGGCATCACAGCAACCTCAAACTCCTGGGTTCAAGAGATCCTCCTGCCTCAGCCTCTGGAGTAGCTGTGACTACAGGCATCTACCACAATGCCCAGCTCAGTTTTCTATTTTGTGTAGAGATAGATTTTTTCTCTTGCTCAGTGTGGTCTCAACCTCCTGAGCTGAAGTAATCCACTCGCCTCAACCTCCCAGAGTACTAGAAAGAATTTTCTTCCCTTTTAAGGCTGAATAATAGTCATTTGTTTGTACCCATTTTGCTTATCCACTTATCTGCTGATGGACACTTGTTTTGGTTCTACCTCTTGGCTATTGTGAATAATGTTACTATGAATATGGGTGTACAAATTTATTTTCAGAACCTTGCTTTCAATTCTTTTGGGTGTATACCCCAAAGTAGAATTCCTCTATAATATGGTAATTCTATTTTTAATTTCTAGCGGAACTGCCATACTGTTTTCCATTGCAGTGGCACCATTTAACATTTCCACTAACAATACACAAGCGTTCCAATTTCTCCACATCCTTGCCAACACTTCTCATTTTCTATTTTTTAAGATAATAGCCATGCTAACAGGCTTCTTTTTAATTAAAAACAAAAGTTTGGGAATTTTTCCTTGGTGTTCCTACTTTGTCAGAGGCATTTGTTTATATATATCAACTATTTTCTAATTAAGACAACCAATTATTTGCAATTGATAACACTGTACAGTGCTGTGCAATAAATAGATACATCAGGATTACATTATCCACAATATGTTGAAGCTAAAAATGCAGATGGTATTTTGGGAAGACTGGGGAGAAAACAGACATTATTTAGCATTTACTGTGGGTCAAGACCTGCATTTTCCATATATTATTACGTTTGATCTTTAGCAGAACCCTATTAGTACATCAATCTCATGTCAATGGAGGCAGAAACTCATGCACAGAGTAAGAGATTTGTTAAAGTCACATAGAGAGTGTTGAAAATGTGTCCAAACTTGTCTGTCTGATGCCAGAACCTGTGCTTTTCTCATTATCTTTTGCTATCTGTTAAGTATAAAATACCTCATTTGTTCAATCCATATGATTTGTGAAGTTTTTCCAAGATAGTATTTCACATGTTCCATATAGTAGTTCTGCGAGACGGTTAACATCAATATTATCCAGATCCACATTTACAAATGGTGGAAATTGTGATTCATGGCAGCATGTACTTGTCCAAGCTCACAAACCAGAGTGGAAACAGAACTAAGACTCAAATCCAGGCCTTTTCATTCTTGATCCACAGTTCTTCTCCCTGTAACATGTGCCTTTTTGCTGTTCAGAGCAGCTCATATAGTTATGCAACCTCATTAAGTCAAAGTTAGATGTTACAAATGTAGACATTTGATTACAGCTCATGTGACATGCAGTACTTTCTAATTAATATTTGATCATGTCATCTACCATTCCCTTCCTTATCTAAGACTGCGATGAAAAGGTTCTATTTATTAATGTCATTCGCTAAGTCATTCTTCAGATCCTGAATGGATGTTTATTGTATGTCGGATGCTGTGTTTGGGGCAAGACATGGGGAGATATATAAAGGAAATATTTTCCTTATCTCAACACAGCTCACACTATAACAGGAGATTCTGATACTTAAAAAAATTTCCCTATGATGTATGCCTACCTTGTAAGGATACTGAAGGGGAAATTGGGTGGGGTCAACAGAAAAAGTTTCACAGGAGAGGAGGGTCTATACACCTTAGGAATGGGTAGGCTTTCCCCTAAAGAGAAGAGTTAAATAATGGTTTGTTCTTTGTAGAACCACAAGGAAACCTCCATCCATTTCAGCTGTCTGAAAGAAGAGTTGAGAGAGATCTTCTGTTTTATCTAATTCTGAAGTTTTGCCCAAGTGGCTTACCTGAATTGATCAAAAATAGAGATAGTTTGGGTCTGTGTGATTTGGGGTCATCAGTACAAGCAGTGGATAGATTAATGTTGTCTGATTGCTTTGAAGGTGATGTGCTCAGGTCTTTGTGGCTGTAAAAGCAACTGCAAGGACCATGTGGTATTTTGATGGTTGTTGTGGCTGGTTTGAGTTGGCTGGGTGATCAGAGGCAGTTGCATGATTGTCTTCAGGTATATTTTTATTCCATAGGGAGAAAGAGGCCCCCGGGGTCTTCCTGGACTCCCAGGTGAGGATGGATGCCCGGGAACGAGGGGACCTAAGGTGAGTGTGGCCTTGAGCTGTGGACTTCTTTCCCTTTCTTGCTTTTACCCCTCGTGTTTGAGAAAAATCTTAATTTTTCAACATACTGGTATTTCGCCATCTATGATATGCTCCTGTGTATAATGTGCAATGTTGTTGGCCCAAAATGTCAAGAAAAAAAATCTTTTGTTTAAATTATGTAAAGGTGGGAGGAAGTGACCACCAGTGGTGCCTCCTTCTCTCACAAGAGGTGTTAGGCATAGAGCTGACCGCTGCAGAGAAGCTGGGAGTGAGCCCAGGTGGCGGGTGAGAGTGGTCCAGGTAACTGGAGTGCCTGACCTCCCCGCTGTCCCCTCCCAGCCCACCCTCATCCTCACACCCTCTCATTGTCCTGTTCCTATCCATGACCATTGGTGGGAATGTCGTCACAGCCACTCATTGGTGGGAATGTCGTCTCAGCCACAGCTGAGAACCCCAGTGGGCTTATTTCCTGGGAAGCTGCTGTGAGGGTGAGGGCTGCCCTTGACTGCCCCAGGCTTCTAACAGTGGGAGGCTGCCTCATCTCTGAAATAGCTGGCCCTGTTCTGAGGCCTCTAAGACACCACAAAGGAGGAAGATCCCTGAGCTGGGGTCTGGGAGACCTGGGTTCTGAGACCCGGATCTACAAGTATAGCCTGCTGTTGTGACCTTGGGCCTCAATCCCCATAAAATTTCTGTCTGCGAGGGTATCTGGCAGTGAAGCACAAAACCTTTGGAGTATCAGAGTCCATTGATTATAATTTTAAACCTATGACTTGTCTGAACCCCCAAGGTGTTGAATTGGTATAATTTCTCAAACTTGCCAGTAGGAAGAAAAATATCAGGTCACTAATATATGAAACCAGGTCTTTCTCCTAGAGAACTGATTCGATATATTTGGGAGTGGTTCAGGAGTCTCATTTTAACTAGTTCCTGGGGTGATTTGTAGGATTTCCAAGTCTGGGAAAGGCTGGTGTCATTTATTCTGACGTTACTGAGTGCCGAAGGTCTGGGTGACTCAAGGAGTCACTAAACAGAGATGTAAATGCAGAGCACTTCACTGGGCTGATATCATAAGGGAAAGCTTCCTCTGCATGGTGTCCTGGGGGGCCTCAGAATGGGGCCAGCTGCATGAGAGACAAGGCAGCTCAGAAGCAGCAGGGATCTACCATCAGAGCAGGGATCTACAAGGCAGCTCAGTGCAGCAGGGCTGGCACTGGTCCCTCACACTAGCTTCCCAGGAAATAAACTCACCGGAGTTCTCAGTGGAACAGCTGTGGCCAGGTTCCTACCAATGATCATGGATGGGAACGGGAAATGAGGGGATGTGAGGATGAGAGTGGACTGGGGGGGGCAGTAGGGGAGGTTGGGCACTACGGTTGTTTGGACCACTGTCATCTGCCACCTAAGCTCACTCCTGGCTTCTCTGCAGTGGCCAACTCTGCACCCTGCACCTATCAGGAGAGAAAGAGGTGCCATTGCATAGCCATTTCTCCCCTCCTTTCACCAAGGTCCCAACACTAACCCATGTGTCACCATTGGTGGCATGCTCACTTCCAAGATAGTAGTGGCAGTGGTGTCTGGTGCAAGTGGCCAGGTGGGCTGGAGGCTACTGCGGCTGTGGTGCCTGCCAGTCAGGGGGCAGTAGGGGAAAGGCGACATTTGGAGGGGGTGTGATTACCTTGTCACAGGGCATTATTTTACATGTGGATGTTGTTGTTGCTTTCTATGGTTACACTTTTAAAAGAATTAAAAACATTTATATAGATACGAAATTAGTACTACCTACCCATGTATAATGTACATCTTTATTTTTCCCTCAAAAATTTGGGCATAAACATGTGCATTACACAGTGCAAAATATGGGCTATGGAATGGTGGCTCTTCCTCTGACTGAAAGCCTTTTCTTTTACCTCCCAGAAGTAAAGCCAGAGAAAAGGAATCAACTACTGCAAGTAGTTTACTGGGAGGTGCTATCAGAAAACAATAGCAGGAGAGTAAGGAGTGAGATAAGGAGTGAAGGGGCTGGAAAAGGGTGTATTATCAATCACGTTACCACTGTGATGGGTGGAGCTTAATCCTCCTGAGGAGCTCTGGAGGCCAGCCTTGAACATGCATCTCAGTGTTACACCAGTCAAGGGGTGAGGGAACTGGGTTGTTTATACACCAAATCCTATCAGGAATTAGCTGAGAGATGCTCCCAGGAAGCGTTACTTCCCTAGTGCTCTTGGCTTGTTCTCTTTATAGGTAGAGCAGGCCCTGGTCTCAGGAAAACACTTAGGAAAGAATCATAGACCCTGGTGCTTGGAAGAAAATTTGAGAACACTAAAATTTTGAAGACTCAAGGGGTATAGGTGGGGCATTCTTTTCATGTGGTTACATTCAATGTTCCTTAACAGTCCAGGATTGGAGAATGTCTTTCAATAAGGCCAGAAAAAGATGTCTATAATCTAAGCGTCCTAAAGAGAGTTTTCTTAACCACAACGACCATATTCTGTATATCCTAACAAGTTACTCATTCAAGTAATTTGTTCTTTTGTTCTAGAAGCCCTCTCCCACTTGCTAGCCAGTGTAGTCTCATCTTTGTTTGAAAAATATGACCAATTTAATAAGAATCGGCAGGTCACTGTTGTTCTCTTTCATTCCTGTATGTGTGGAGTTGCCCAAGGGGCAATTTTCTCCAGGTCCCAGGCAAAGTAAGGGTGCCAGGGATCAGAACGCTGTGATCCCCATTACATTTACTAAAGAATACATCTTCATTTTGATCTAGTGCTTGTAATTTTATTTTACAATTTATTTTAGTTAGTATATTTTATTCAAACCAGGGAACATATGGTTTCCAAAATGACACAAGGGTTTAAAGGTGTCATTCTTATGGCTGAATTTACATCTTTTATGTTTACCTGGGTAGAGCTGAAACACATTCTTCTTAACAAAGTATCTCAAGATTGGAAAAGAAAAATATCCAATATACTCAATACTAATTTGAAACCATTATATAAACAATTACATGCCCACATAAATGATAAAACACAAATATAGTATAGGAAGGGGGGGGGAGAGAACAGATGGGGAAGGGAAGAGGGGGAGGACAATTGGTGGGAGGAGGGAGAGCAATTGGTGAGATCTCACCTAATGTGCACAGTGTGAGGGTGTTTGGCATGCTCCCTTGGGTGAAGGCCTCTACCATAACTTGAACTTCATATTTACCTTGGCAATAAGAACAATGTAACCTAAAAAATATTTGTACCCTTATATTAGTTTGAAATAAAAAAAATTTCATTCAAACTCATTTCTTTTTATTTCTTTCTAAATTTAGGGAATAAGAGGATTTTCAGGAGAGAAGGTAGGTAATCTTTGCTCTTCTTAAACTGAATAGCAGTTTCTTTGGGAAACATAATACTGAGTTTGATCACTTTTCCTTTGCTTGAGTGAGGTGAGGCTTAAAACTTAGACAAGAGAATATGTCAGATGATATTAATAGACAAACTTCCATGCAAATTAATGACTATTTGTAAGACATGTATTTTAAGCTTAAGGCAGTGCTATGGATTATTATTTTCAAAGCTTTCTGATTCTATAAAAATGGGAAAGCTGCTCCTGAATCCAAAGTGTTCCGTGAAGGTCTGGTCCAGGTGGGTGTCAATGAGAGAGACAGGCTGGGACAGGACTAGAAGGAAAGGGGTTGGCACAATAAAGGAATATATACAGACTCCTTATATACAGATTCAGAACCAAAGTATCAATTTGCTCATTCATTCACTCAAAAATATCATGTAATTCTAGTTCAAAAGTTTGGTATATTTATTTTGATGCACCAGCTCAGCTATACTTTGGGTTAAGAAAACACATGAAACTATTTTCTCCAGTGGACAGTAGGAGTAAATCAACTATTTCACACATGTAAAATGCATTTTATTTTGCTTGCAAAGCTGGATTTTTTTTTTTCAAAAGAGGATTTATAATGAATATATTATAGTCTGTTGTGCCTAGGAGTTCCACAAAAACCACACTGCCAAACAAGCTGAATTCACAGCACAGTCCCTTTATTGAAGAGCAGGCCGGCGACTGCCTCAGTGTCCCAACATGGGGTTTCTGAGTGCAGCCCAAGTGCTTAAGGGGTAGAGTTTTTAAGGCTTGGCCTGCATCCTGGTTGGCACTCAGGCTGTTTAGGTGCATTAGGTAGGGTAACAAGCAGCATTGTATAGAAGCAGAATTTTGTGGTTAGTTAGGCATACGTCATGCATTTTTGTTTTAATATTTTCCCTCTACACATTTTAGTTTCTGTACTTTCGCCCCATACATCTTAGTCTCAGTATTTTCCCTACCTGGCAATACCTGGTATTACTTAAAGGTCAGTCTGGGGACAGTTTGTGCCTCCCGGTTTGTTTCCCAGTGAGTTAGCTAAGCAAGAAACTGGGAGTGAACTAAAAGCAAGAAATCAATTAGTACTTTCTCATTTATCTTGGGGCTGAACTACACCTATTTCCTTTCTTTTTTTTGAAAGCTTTCAGTTTGCAAATTTGCCCGGGGTTAGCTGGCATTTTCCCATTATAGCCTAGGCCTGACACTCTTTTGCTTTAGTCTAGGCCCACGAGGCCTAACATGTCCTTTTGAGATGGCTGGCAAAATGAAGGGCTGATAATAAGAAAGTGACGGAATCTTCGATGGGATGTCACTGTGCCATTGCCTATTTCTTTTTACTCTTCTCACCATATTAACCTCAGTTTTTCAGTTCTTTTCTTATTTTTATCACTCCCCAAATGTACATACACTCACTTAATCCTCTTTAATCTGTAATCTCCCAAATTTCCATTATACAGATTAATCCAGGCATATTTACCATCATTTTGTTGTTGTTGTTGAGAGACTCTCGCTTTGACACCTTTGGTAGAGGGCTGTGGTGCCACAGCTCACAGCAACCTCAAACACTTGGGCTCAAGCAATCCTCTTGTCTCAGCCTCCCGCGTAGCTAGGACTATAGGTTCCTGCCCCATCCCAGCTATTTTTAGAGATGGGGTCTAGTTCTTGCCCAGGCTGGTCTCAAACTCCTGAGCTCAAGAGATCCACCCACCTCAGCCTCCCAGAGTTCTAGTATTAAAGGTGTGAGCCACTGCAATGGCCTATTTACCATCTTCTGAAAGAAAGTTAGTGACAAAAGGACCACGTGACAACCAGAAGATGTTTTTTTTTTTTTCAATTTTTGGTCGGGGCTGGGTTTGAACCCACCACCTCCAGCATATGGGGCTGACGCTCTACTCCTTTGAGCCATAGGTGCCATCCAGAGGATGTTTTATGCTGTCTTGTGAAAGAATTATTCTCATTGCAAAAGTTTAAAGGAAATCTTTTTGATCCATTCAAAATTTGAGGATTATTAAAAATCTTTTCTTCTTTCAGGTATCTGAAACTGTCAGGAAACACAGTGTATAATAACCCTAGCAACTATTTCATAAAGAAAATAATGATTACTTATAGAAAAAATATCCACCTCTACCTGTTTCTTTTGTCTCCAACATTCTGATATTTCTTTGCTCCAGGGAAACCCTGGTGAGGAAGGTGTTGATGGCTTCGACGGAGAACAGGTACAAAAGTTTCTCATTTTATGTTTTCTTTTCTACTAATCTGGCATTTATGCTCTTATAGAAAGTATAGCTTTCCATGATTAGCTAGAAGTTTTAACCTGCATACTCAATAATCTTCAAAGTTAATGTATGTAGCTGTTCTCATCCTCGAAATACAAGGACTCTAGAAACTTAACTCTAATCAATTCCTTGCATATTCCATATTATTGTTTAGTATTTTATTTTCATCTTTTTTGGTTAAACTCTACCAATTACAAATTGTTACTATTATTGTTTTATATAGTCAGTGCTTATCTTTCTTTAGCCACATGTTTACTAGTATCACTGATACCTTCCTTGCCTTCATTGATGTATTCCAAAGAACGTGCAAATATCAACTTCCTTTGGCCAAGTAGATACCTTTTAGAATTTTCATTAATGATGGTCAATTTGTGGTAAACTCTTTTGTTTTCCTTTTCCTCTGAAAGTCTATTTATTTTACTTTTGAAAAATCGTTCATTGGGTAAACAATTCTGTGGTGATGGTAATTTTCTCTCAGCATTTTGAAGATGTAATTTCTTAGTCTGATGGCTTCTATTGTCTTCTACCTTTCATTATTTATGTTAAGAAGTTGCCTGTCAAAATAATTGTTCTTTTGTAAACAATCTTTAAAAATAGATATATCATATAGATATGTATATCCTTAAAACTTTTCCCTTTGTTTTTAGTTTTTGGCAGTTTCAATATGATCTGTTCAGGTGTGGATTTATTTTTATTTTTTTCTGTTTGTGGACTTGTTAGGCTTTTGAATCTGAATATTTACGTCTCTTCTATACATTTTGGAAAATCCTTAGAAAATTACCATTTAAAATGTTTTATCTTTCCTATTGTCTCTATTATCTCTTTGTGGAAATCTAATTTGAAGTTTGTGAAAACTTCTCATTTTTTCCCCAGTATTTCTTCACCACCCTTTCGTATTTTCTGTTTCTCTGTCATTCTGTGCTGGATTCTGTATGATTTCTCCAGTTTCTAGTTCATTACTTCTCATCTTACTTGTATTTAGAATGTTACTTAATCTAAAAATTGAATTTTTAATTTCAATTGTCTTATTTTTCACTTCAAGGAGTTTCCTTTGATTCTTTTAAAAATCTACTTGATCTCTGAATAACCTGACACTGCTTGTTATTTTACTCATTCTGTTTTTAACAATTTAAGCATATCGAATATATTTATTTTATATTTAGTGAATGATAATTCTGATGTTTGGAATCATTGCAGGTCTGATATTGTTTTCTTTTGTTTCTACTGATTTTTCCTTCATGATGTCTCCTTCATGTATATTGTGATTTTTGATTTAAACTCATTTTTGATGTAACTTTGTCTGTGAAAATTTGTTAAATCCTGGGCTGAGATTGTTTGCTTCTGCTATGTTTCTACTGGCACTGCCTTCTGGGAGCACTTTAAAATAAATTGTCAGCCTGAGGTTTCTCATAACATGAAGAGAGACATGTGCGCGCACACGCGTGTGTGCGCGTGCACACACACACACACACGGTGATTTCATGAAGCCCTCTGGACAACCAAGAACTATTACCATTTTGAATTTCTTCTTCCTTCATATTCTGTGGTTCAACTCACTAATATATGTGAAATGTGTTATAATTTGTCTGGAATTTTAAACTGATTTTAATGGGATGATTGCTCAGTGCATCTAGTCACATTGTCAGAAATAGAGTGGAACAGCAAATTTGTACTCTTGGCTAGAATGTAAAACTACATACAAAAGCTTTTGATGTGACTAATACAAGAAAGATTCTTTGTATATTTATTTTTCTCTTTCTAGGGTGGTCATGGAGTTCCAGGATTGCCTGGAGAAAAAGGAAATAGAGGAAATCGGGTAAAATATGAGGATACTCGCTCATTTTTAAAATGAATAACCTGACACAGGCAGTTTATTTTTATTTTTTTTTAAATTTATTTTTTTCAAACAACCTTTAGTGTTTGACAGTTTATTTTTAAACTGTGGGAAAGAATCATCTAGTGGTTTAAATACTAGGTTGAGCGTTAAAGGGCAATCAATATTATCAATAGATCATTATTTAGAAGATTTACGTAAGACTTGATATTGTAGATGGTTAAATGAGTAATATACATCTTGTAACTTAACCTTTTGTGCTTTAGAACAGAGATTGTGTCACTCCCTATCTCACAAGTTTTTCATAGTTACTGTACCCAAGGTCTTTCAACTACATTCTCCATCAATCTCAGTCAAGAAGTGTCCTTCACAAATTGTGCTACTTCTTGTCCCCTGAACATTCCTCGTGTATTTGCTCATGCCAGCTGCCCCTCTTGGAATACCTTTTCCCTGCTTCTGTCTCCAGGGTTTAATTTGAATATCACCTTTCTTCAGTGTCTCACTCCTTTCTTTTTTCCTCATGATGGCTTCTTTGGCCATGTCAATCTGTGGTGATCTCTCTTCTCTGCATCCTTACAACTTACTATTATTATTTGTATTATCTGCTTGACAGTGATCACACACTGCCTCATGCTGGTGAGTCTATGGGAGGGATATCAGATACCTGGCATTTGTACTGCAGCTCTCACTCCCTATGCCTGTGGCAGACATTACTAATTATGGAGTCCAACATGGACGAAAGATCCAGGTCAACACAGAAGCATAATCAGCTTCTGTTGATAGATAGGATTACAGATGTGGGTGAAATTTATTTATTTATGCTTCTTTGTACTCTTAAGGAGTTAGAGTAATACTTTTACTTCAAGGATGCACAATTAATGTTGTAGACAGATTCTCTGGTAAGTAAAACAGGCAGAATCAGAAGATATGGCTCTTAACCTCAAACCTGAAGTGTGCAGATCAGGTTTTAGAGAAGTCGAAGGATACCATACTGCTATAACACTGGAGAGATTTCAGTTTCAGTTGAATTTTGTTAAATTCAGTAAACAGCTGTCAAGTGCCTTCTCCCTGTGGAACATTTTTTCCCAAACACAAAGAAGAGTACCAAGATATGTAAACTTGGGCTTTGACTAAAAAAGAGCCCAGGTACCTGTAGCTGGTACAGGTAGAACTATAATACAAGACAGGATGATAAGATAGGGGTTTAAGGATAGTGCAAATAAAGAATCAGTGCGAGCACAGCGACTTAAGGAGGATGCTAAAATAGAGTGGCTTTTCATCAGAACTGATTAAGCATATATTATAATCCAGGCATAATTCTAGAATGAGGGACAAAACAGGCATGGGTGTTATATTTTAGGATTGGACTTTAGGACGACAGACAGACATTAATAAAATAATCATGGAAGTAGATGTAAGCTTCTTGCTTGGATAAACATATGGAGAGGGAAATGACATGGGTTCTCATCCATCCTGTGCACTCAGGAGCTTTTCATCAAGGAAGTGGAGATGGGAGGAAATTTAAAGAATGATGAGGAAGGAGAGAAAGGGGCAAGAGAACAGCCTACTGTATTAAAGCTCTGTGACATTTGAGCAGGTGCCAAAGGGCGGAGAGGACACTGGCATTCTGGGGAATGTAGGAAATCAAGATATTTTTCACTTTGATCTTTGTGAGAAGGAATGGGCAAGAGATACAAGGTATTCTGGCTTAAGTAAAAGGCACAAGGAAAAGATGAGAGGTAGAAAAACTCAGGGTAGTTTTGAAAAAACAAGGATTCCAATTTAACAGCAGTGGAGGATAAAATAAAAAGTATAAAGAGTGGGAATAAAGTCTAGGAAGGCAATTTGGAGTCAACTAATGCCGTGTTTAGGAGTTTTTTTCCTTCTACTGAGTAATCAAGGGCTACTAAGAGTTCTAGGCAAGGGAGACACATATTTGAAGTTACAGGTTTAGAATATTACTCTCATGCAAATATCTTTGTTGTAAAATTATTTTTGGCCATCTAAATTGTATATAAAATCAGCACATTGTACTCCATAAATGCATTAATGTATGCAGTTATGATTTAATAAAAGAAAATGAATTAAAAAATAAAAATAAATAAAGTTTTTAAAAAAGAATAATACTGTAGAAGCCATGTGTCTGTTTTGGAAAAAGGAGGGACTAGAAGTGGGCAAATCATAATAAGAACCATATAGTGACTTTGAGCATTTAAATTTATTATTTTATTTAATTCCTGCAATGGCCCTGTAAGATGAGTACATCTGTCTCACAAATGAGAAAATGGAATTAGAGAAGTCAAAGAAATCTTGGCTATTTAGTAAGTTAAGCGGAAGGATCAGAATTTAGTATTATCTATCTCTCTTTACATTATTCCATTAGGCCATGAGAGAGGTAAAGTAGGGTCTTAAGTAAGATTGTGAGGTGACTTCTTTGGGAGCCTAGAGAACATTCCATTTCCTATGTGTCTGAGAGTGGGAACAGTGATTCTGTCTTCATCACACCTACTCTCCAGAGGCAGGCATGTGACATCATCTGAAGAAGGGATCTCCCCTACTCCGTGACTCTGTAGGACACAGAGATGACCTGATAATGGCAGGTTTTAAGAGAGGCAATTTTTCACTTATTGTGTTACAGTCCTATGGTAAATTTTTTCACCTCTTTGCTTCTCTGTCTGCAGCAATCACAGTCAGGGGCTCTGGAAGCATTTTTCTATCCTTTCTTCTCTGGCACTACTGCCTACACCCTCTATGGAGAAAACCTCCTATTTCTTTCTACATGTGTTTCTACCCCTCCCTAATGTGGAGCAGTAGAGAGGGATGGAAAGATCAAGGAATTTGGTGGTGGGGAGACCTGGATCCAACTTCCCAGCCTCAGGTCCCACATGCACAAATGGTTTAATTCCTGAGTTGTGAGGATTAAGTGAGGGAATCACTTTACCCCAGTTAGAATGGATTTTATTAAAAGGTCCAAAAACAATAGATGCTGGCATGGATGCAAAGAGAAAGGAATGCTTATACTGTGGTGGGACTGCAAATCAGTACAATGTCTATGGAAAACAGTATGGAGAGTCCTCAAAGAACTAACCCTACCATTTGATCCAGCAATTCCATGGGGTACTTACCCAAAGGAAAATGTCATTTTATCAAAAAGACACCTGCATGCAAATGTTTATGTGTTATTATTACAACACAATTCTCAACTGCAAAGATGTAGAATCAACCCAAGTGCCTATTGATTCAAGAGTGGATTAACAAAATGTGGTATACTTGCATGTATGTTATGGACTACTATACAGCCACGAAGAATCATAAATTAAGTTCTTTTGCAACAATTTGGATGGAACTAGAGATCATTATCCTAAGCAAAGTATCTAAAGAATGGAAAACAAATACCACATGTATTCACTATTGAACTGAAACTAACTGATAAACACCCATATGGAGAGAGTGAAGTAAAACTCAGTGGACTCAGTGGAAAGCAAGCAGGGAGGAGGGGAGAGTAGGGGATGGGCACAAACTTACCTAATGGGTACAGTGAACACCATCTGAATGATGGGCATGCTTATAACTCTGACTCAAGAATAACAAAATCAATAGGTGTAACCAAAAACATTTGCCTCCCTGTAATTTTCTTTTCTTTTTTCTTTTTTTGAGACAGAGCCTCAAGCTGTTGCCCTGGGTAGAGTGCTGTGATGTCACAGCTCACAGCAACCTCCAACTATTGGGCTTAAGCGATTCTCTTGCCTAGGCCTCCCAAGTAGCTGGGACTACAGGCACCCACCACAACGCCCAGCTATTTTTTAGTTGTAGTTGTCATTGTTTTTGGTAGGCCTGGGCTGGATTCGAACCCACCAGCTCTGGTGCACGTGGCTGGGTGCCCCAGTTGCTTGAGCTACAGGCGCTGAGCCGATCCCTGTACTATTTTGAAATTTAAAAAATGAGATAATACACACTTACAGCCAAGCATGTGGCAGAAAGCCAATAGAACATGTTCTTTTCTACTTTTCAATCTCACCTCTGGCAGCAGGTGCTCTAGAATTCAAGTACTAAGTTGCTCCTTTAATTTGATCCTTATTTTCTCTCTTAATGTCCTCTTTGCCTTAGGCAATAGGTGATTTTAAAAAGTGACCCATTTTTCTTTGTGATTTAAGGGCTTGACGGGACTGCCAGGACAACCAGGAGAGCGTGGAGAGCCTGGGTTAAGGGGAGATCCTGTGAGTGATGTTGGGGGCTTCTGCTGCTTTAACTCTAGGGATATGAGAATTGTTTGCTTGTGGTCCAAAGGCAAAGAGCAATTAAGTATTCATTAATAAGGCATCTGTTCAGGCTATGTTAGTATTATAACAAATAAGAGATTGGAGGAGAGATTCATCTTGTAGATAATTGGGGTTAAAAAAAGGTTGGAATTTAATTGCATTGAGTGTCTAGAATTATTGAGCAGGTTCAGACAACAAGAAGGGTCTACTTTTTTTTTTTTTTTTTTTTTAAGACACATCTCACTATGTCGCCTTTGGTGGAGTGCTGTGTTGTCAGAGCTCACAGCAATAACAAACTCTTGGGCTTAAGCAATTCTCTTGCCTCAGCCTCCCAAGTAGCTGGGACTACAGGTGCCCACCACAACACCCAGCTATTTTTTTGTTGTAGTTGTAATTCTTGTTTGGCAGGCCTGGGCTGGGTTTAAACCTGCCAGCCCCAGGTGCATGTGGCTGGTGCCCTAACTGCTTAGCTACAGGCACCGAGTCAAGAAGGGTCTACTTTGGTTGTGTCTTTTCTTTCCTTTTCTCATAGTTTCCAAGAATATGAGGTCTGTGTAGCAATCCCTCTCTCCCTCCCTCCTTCCCTCCCTCCCTCCCTTCCTTCCTTCCTTTCTTCTTTCTTTCTTCTCTCTCTCTTGCTCCCTCTCTCCCTCATGCTCCTTCCTTTCTTCCTTCCCTCTCCCTCTCTCTTTCCTTCCTTCCTTGCTTCCTTCCTTTTTCTTTCTTCTCTTTCACCATTCTTTCTATAATTTATTTTCTTTATTTTCCATTTGAGGTAATCAACCTTTTGTTTTCTCAGGGGGATCCTGGAACAAATAGTTACATCCAAGGCCCTAAGGGAGAAAAAGGAAGGCGTGGGCATCAGGTAAGATGGTTTTATTCACTTGGGGAGACTACTAAACTAGAGAACAGATGCTAGCTGGTGCAGAAGGCTTGAGCGTTCCAGTTGGATCAGCACAGAAAACCAGAGAGGAAGTCTGTGGGAATCCACTATCGATGGAGATGGTATCTCTGAATGCTAATACCCATGCACATATTTGCTTATGTATCCCTATCTCATAGCTTTTTGTTCCCATACAAATCCTATCTCCTACAACATTAGTAATACAAGTCACTTTACCTCTTTTGTTATTGGTTTCATCATCTCCATAATGAAAGCATTAGACTCCGTGATAACTAAGATATTTCTAGTTTCCAAATTCTCCAATTTTATAATGATATACTGTGTTAAAAGGTGCTCAGGGTCATTAGGCTGCTGGCTTGTTTTCTATCACAGCCAGTGCTAGTTGAAGCATATTCAGTATTAGCAATTTTCTAGTTCTGAAGACTAGAAGCTTTGTGAGAAAGGGAAAAAAGACTTGTTAACTTGATAGATATTAACCTCTTAGAAGCCATTTTTAGATTTTTATGTCTTAGATACTAAAATGCATGATTCTAAAAATGATTAAAATAACCTAAGTTCTTCAGTCCTCATATCTTATTAGTTTCCAAGAATATGAGGTCTGTGTAGCAAAATGTTTATAACTGGAAAGGAATCTTTATTTACCTCAAGCTCCAAATTTTCATCCTTTGACAAAACCATAGGACATTGGCCCTCTTCTTTAGATTATAGCTAGCTAGCATTCCTTTTTATATATGCACAGGACCTGAGTTAAATCCAGTTTGTAAGAAGATGATTATTATGTAGACAGATAAGAAATCCATCATGACTTGCTACAAAAATCTCTCACCCTGTCATTAATTACAATTGTTTTGGATAAACACTATCGAGAGGGTTCCTTGTGGTGAGTTGAGATCGGATAGCCCCTTGAACAGCCACTCAGTGGCTATGAGACTAAGCCTCAGGAACAGTAGGGAAGTACCCCCTTAACCTACGAGGGCCCAGTTCCTCATCTGTAAGGTGGGAAGATTAGAGAAAGCATTTTGAAGCTTGCCTGAATTAGTGGCTAATGGAAAGAAGGGTCAAAACCTGTTTCTAATGAGCTTGGTTCTGTGGTTTGCTCAAGGTTTTACTGCTGGGCAGAAACCCAGGCCTCTAGCAAACTGTCCAGTGCTGCGCCCATCACAGCACCAGAGCCACAGTGAGGGCCTCATGTTCCAGCTTTCACAGGTCTCCATTGCTTTAGCCAAGGATTAATCTTGAAAATCAGGTCCCTATCAGATGCCTGAATTGCATGTCTAAGCAAAGATTGCAGCCCTCTGAGGCAATACCATATCATATTGCGTACGTGTTCCCCATGGTTTATACTCCCATGCTGGGCCAAAAGAGAGTGCTGACTAAATATCTTTTAAATAAACTTGGATAACAGCAATTACTTCCATCGTCTACAGAAGCCTGCAGCCAGTGGACACTGAGGGCAATCTCTCCTTGGTATTACTTTGGAGATGAACCAAACAGCAGATCCAATGTTGTAATTGGGTGAGAAGGCTCCCTGATGAAGCTCTTTCCAACCACTCAGAGAAACTTCATTGCATACCCAGTATTGGGGAAGAGTGGAGAACCAGCCATGCCAGTCAGAAAGCAGCGCTTCTGGGGAGAATGAAAATAGATACAACCTTTTTGGAAGGCAATAGGCGACATTCATCAGTTGGGACTACTATTCTTTGCTTTTGTTTTTATTATGTTTTTTAATACAGAAGTGACGGAAAGCTTGACTAGCAGTGTTAGGATAATAAACATGTTTGTTTACCCAGAGAGAGGGGATTACAGGTTTGCCGCACCAACCCATGATGCCATTGAGACTTCCAGATGGCATTGGGGACCTTGTGCCATTGGCAGTGTGCTAGCTTTGGTTCTTAGGCTTGGCAGACCTAAGCAATTTGTCTTCATCTTTACATAAAATGACAGAAGAAAGAGGATTTACTTTCATTAAAGCTCATTAACCAAAACTGAGTCCTGTATTTCTCCCTTGCTCTTACCCCATTTTGAGAGATCCAGAGAAAGCAAGTTTCTGATGAGAGGAAATGAGATCACCTCATTTGGTTTAGGCTTATTATAATCTATCCCTTGGAGCTAGGTATGTTGTTCCCAGCCAAACTGGGATTTTCTTAGCAAGAAGGGCAGAGCCTGTTGTGTAGGCCACCAAGTCTATGTATATTCTTCAATCTAGCCTTTTCAATCCTAAATATTTATCCAGAGCAACACAATCATCGATTTAGCTATTACAATGGTCATTGCAGTGATTTTTTAAAGGTCTAATAATAAGAGATTATGTACATAAATGATATGATAATAAAAAAAATTAGGCCATGAAGCATAATGTAGAAGACTATTTTGTGGCATGGTAACTATCCATGATGTAATATGAAGGGGAGAAAGTGGGTTACAAAACACTGCTTTCTAGTGTGAGTCCAAATTTGTAGAACATATCCATCCATATCACTAAAATTATATATTTCTTTCCCTTAATTGTATACTCTAAATTGTTGAAATAGTCCATGATGAACCTGTATTACTTTTTACCATAACTATTTTCTGTTTTGAAAAAATTTAAATTTACAGAAAAAGGTTGCAGTTGTAAGAATTAACACCAGGTGTTGTCACTTAGCCTTATTTGCCCTCTATCTCTCTATACATATACAGAGGTGTATGTGTGTACATACACATGTATTTGGCTGAGCCATTTGAGGATTAAACACATCATGACATTTTGCCTCTAAATATTTGGCAAGTATATTTTAAGAAAAAGGTTATTCTTCTATATAAGCCTAATATAATCATCACACTCAAGATATTTAATATTTATTTAGTACTATTTCCTAATATACAGCTTGTATTAAATTTTCCCACTTGCCTTGTGTTTATAGTTTGGGCTACTATAACAGAATACAGTGGACTACTGGGTGACTTAATAAAGACATTATTTTTCACAGTTGTAGAGAATGGGAAGTCCAAGATCATAACCCTGGAAGATTCAGAGTCTAGTGAGGTCCTGGGTCACAGGTTGCTGTCTTCTTGGCTGTCAACTCACTTGGCAGGAGGGCTACAGTGCTTCCTCAGGCCTCTTTTACAAGGGCACTAATCTCATAATGGGGGCACCACCCTCATGACCTAAATCACCTCCCAAAGCCTTACCCTTTAATACTTTCTATATAGATCTCATCAACATAAGAATTTTAGGGGGGACATATTCAGCACGTAACACCCCAATGATATCTTCTATGGCTGTTTGTGTTGTTGTTATTCCAGGATCCAATCAAGGATTATGTAGTGCTTTTAGTTGTCCTGCCTCTTTAGTGTCCTTTAATTACAGTTTACAGGTTTGTTTGTTTATATGACATTACCATTTTACACCAGTTATTTTGCTAAACATAGAGAAGAATAGAATAGACATAGAATTTGTCTGATTATTTATTTCCCTATAACTAGATGTCAACTAAACATTTTTGGAATCATAGAAAAAACTTTTTTCAATGTAATAAACTCTTGAGAAACATGATTTTCTTCTTTATTTCATTATTTCTATCATAATTTGATTAACACTTCCCTCACATTATAAGATCCTTAAATTGTTTCAGAATTTAATCTATTATGAATAGCAGTTAGATATACAGCTCTGCACAAAACATTTTTGTTTCTGCATATGACATTCTTTCCTAATTTGCCTATTTCTATTGAGTGAACATTCAACCTCACTAAATAATTATCTAAAGCGCCCCTACTTGGGATCGCATCTGGTTTTCATTTGTCTTAAAAGATGAACTCATTCTTTCTTTGGTTACTACTCATTTCCTCAATTCTGACCCTAATGAGGTAAGAGTGCTAGAAAATGTCTTCCTTATGAAACCTTTGTACTTGATAATCGCCTCAAGTATGCAGACATACACTTTTCTAACCTCTGTTTCAATCTGCCACTCAGGACACTAAATGACAGAGGTGGAAAGGAAAATGCCAATGGTTTCAAGTGTTAAGCATGGTTTGTTGAGGGTGGTATACGACTGCTGCCCCAACATGGTGAACTGTGAGAAGTCATCAAAGGAATAATCTTTCTGGAAAGATGCTTACAACAAGGGTATTTTGAAATATTAGAATTTAATTTGCTTCTTGAGGAGTGCTGTCCAATAGAACAGTCTGAGTTCATAGAAATAGTCTGTGTCTGTGTGCTCTGCAATCTGATAGCCACTAGACATGTGTAGTTATTGAGTACTCAGAACTCAGAAGGTGAACAGTACAACTGAGAAACTAAATTTTAAATTCAATTTTAGTTCAGTTGATTCAAATTTAACAGCTCTGTGTTTAACAGTTCTGTATTGGATGTTGCAAGTCTAGAGAATAAATTCAGAAGTATGGCATTTCTAATGATCTTCTTTCTTTTTCAAACTTTTCAGGGACATTCTAGTTTTGATGGCTCTCAGGGGGAAACTGGAAATGTTGGCCCTCAGGTAGGTGTAACTGCTAGAGGGACGTATTTCTCCTGCCTTTGTGGAAGAGGAAGGTAGGCTGGAGTGAAAATTGGTTTGTTTCCTCTACTAAGGGCTCTATTTTCCTTTATTCTTAGGGATCAAGAGGAAGACGAGGTTTGCCAGGGCTAAAGGTCAGTGCTTTGAAAACAGTTACTCTTTGTTCCCCATATATAGTTGCTTTATTTATATTTATTTTTATTATTGACACATACGATTTGTACATATATATTGGGTATGTGTGATATTATGATGCATACACAGAATGTGTAAAGATTAAGTCAAGATATTGAGGTTATCTATCACCTCAAACATTTATCATTTCTATGTGTTGGGAGCATTTCAAATCTTTTCTTCTAGCTATTTTGAAATGTGCAGTATGATGTTAACTATGGTCACTTTACTGTGCAAGCATTAGAAACTATTTCTTCTAACACTATGTTTTTGCCCTTCAACTTATCTTTTTTCTTCCTCCCACCCCTTCCCAGCCTCTGGTAGCCACTATTCCACTGTCTACCCCCATGAGATCAACATTTAAGCTCCACATATGAGAACATGCACTATTTGTCTTTCTGTGTCTGGCTTACTCCTCTTAGCATAATGACCTTCTGTTCCAATATGTTGCTGCAAATGACAGGATGTCATTCTGTTCTATGGCCAAATAATATTCTGTTGTGTATACATATACACCACATTTTCTTTATCTGTTTATCCATTGATGGACACTTAGGTTGATTTCATATGTTTGCTATCCCTTTGATGTGCCAATTTCCTTTCCTTTGGATAAATACTCAATAGTGGGATTATTGGATCATGTGGTAATTGTATTTTTAGTTTTTGAAAAAAATCTCTCTACTGTTTTCCATAAATGCTGTACTAATTTGCATTCCCACTAACAGCATACAAGGGTTCTGCTTTCTCTACATCCTCGCCAGCATTCATTATTGCCTGTCTTTTTGATAAAAGATATTTTAAGATGGTACATGTAGCTCATCATGGTTTTGATTTTCATTTCCCTGATGATGAGTGATGTTGAACTTTTTTTTTTTTGAGATAGAGTCTCACTATGTTGTTCTTGGTAGAGTGCTGTAGTGTCACAGTTCACAGCAACCTCCAACTCTTGGGCTTAAGCGATTCTCTTGCCTCAGCATCCCAAGTAGCTGGGACTATAGGTGCCCACCACAATGCCTGGCTGTTTTTTGTTGGAGTTGTCATTGTTGTTTAGCTGGCCCAGACTGGGTTCGAACCCGCTATCCTTGGTGTACGTGCCTGGTAACCACTGTGCTACAGGCACTGAGCTGATGTTGAATATTTTTTCATATACCTATTGGCCATTTGCATGGCTTCTTCTTCTTCTTTTTTTTTTTTTTTTTTTTGCAGTTTTTTGGCTGGGGCTGGGTTTGAACCTGCCACCTCTGGCATATGGGGCCAGTGCCCTTTGAGCCACAGGTACCACCCTTGCATGTCTTCTTTTGAGAAACTTCTGTTCAAAACCTTTTCCTACTTTTTAATGGGATTATTTTTGGCTTCCTTGCTGTTGAGTTGTTTGAGTTCCTTGTGTATTCTGGCTGTCAGTATCTTGTTGGATGAATAGTTTGCAAATATTTTCTCCCATTCAACAAGTTTTCTCTTCACTCTGTTGATTGTATCCTTGGCTGTGCAGATGCTTTTTATGAGTTTAATATAGTTCAGTTTGTCTATTTTTTTTGGCTACTTAAAATTCTTTGAGGTTGGGGGAATGTTGGTTGGATTGTTTGAAGGATCATTGAGAAGTTTCCATGTAGATCTTTTTTTGTGAAGAAGGGGAAATTTATATGGTTCTTTGCCTTCTCCTCAACCTTCTATAACATTTTATTTAGATTGGGATGGGGGATATCTTTGGGAGAACCTTATTATTATTATTATTATTATTATTTCGAGACAGCATCTTACTTTGTCATCTTCAGAAGAGTACTATGGTGTTATGGCTCACAGCAACCTCAAAGTTTTGGACTCAAGCAACCCTCTTACCTGAGCCTCCCACATAGCTGGACCACAGGTGCCCACCACTATTGTTTTTTAGAGACAAGGTCTTGCTCTTGTTCAGGCTGGTCTTGAACTTCTGAGCTCAAGTGATCCACCTGCCCTGACTTCCTAGAGTGCTAGGATATGGGCATGAGCCACCAAACCCAGTCTGAGAACCTTATTTTTTAATTTAATTACATTTTTTTCTTTTCCTCTACTGAGGAGAAGGAACTCTATTTTGTTAAGCATTTATCCAAGCACCAGATGCTGCATGAGACATTTATCTACATCATCTCACATAAGCCTCTCTACAATTCCCCCAGAAGTTTTGAACATTAATGGTTATTTTCTTATGGATGAAAGAAGAAATACAAACTGAGAAAAGTGAAGTGCCTATAGCTAATAATTGATGGAGACAGGACTCAAATCCAATGCCTGATTCCAGAAATCATAATGCTCTTTAAAATTTTGGTAAAACATAATTTTATTTGATGCAGGCCTGTCTCTGACATAGTCTGATCATGTTCTGCTGGTATTTTTTCTAGCATTTTCAAGATTAGGATGGAGGCGATATGAGATTGAATCATCTCAGTGTTTTATTGATTTCTTACTATGGGGGATGAGGATTTAACTTTCTTAGCCTGTCCACCTCCTTCTCTACGCTTCTCTCTAACCCATCCTTGCAATATACTTATTTCCTCTACTTTTGGTCAAATCAATTAGTTGTTCACAGGATGACTAGGTAAATATTATTTGTATCTTTATAACTTTTGTTTTCCTTGAATCATCTTTTTCCTGATTTATTATGTGTTCTGTATCCTATTACTAATTAATCACAAAGCTTTTTGACAGAAATGATAACCTCCCAATATATTCAAACACATGAGTATTATTTTTCATGGATTTATCTCTCCTGAGCCCTCTGTCCTCCCGTTCTTATCCAGGAGAATTGCTCTCTGGGCCTCTGCAATGTTGTCTAATTGGGACAGATTTCGGAATAGTGTCCCCTCATCCTGGGAACAGAGAAGTGTGTGCAAACTAGCATATATAATTGGAAGCCTCTATCTTTGAAACATTATAATTCTGATGAGTCTCTGTAGGGGTTTGCTCTTATTTCTATTCAAGTTTGATTTTGATTTTTTTAAATAAGAGATAAAATCATAAATATTTATAGGTTTCAGGGTGAACTGGGTTTATCCACCATGTCAGTGATTTGCTAGCTGTCTTAATGTTGAAGGGCAGTCGTATAGACCCATTTATGTTCTGAGGCTGTAAATCACTAAAGGTCAGACAGACCTGCAGGAAGAACATAGCTTACAGAGATGCTGAACTCCAAATTACAACATTCCTTTGACCTTGAGAAAAATGTGTCTTTGGTGGGAAGAGTGGCTCATGCCTATAATTCTGGTTAGGTTCTGGAGAGGCTAAAGTGGAAGGATCAGTCAAGGCAAGGAATTCAAGACTAGCCTGAGCAACATAGTGAGATCCCAGGCATGGTGGCACATGCCTATAGTCTTACCTACTCAGAAAGCTGAGGTAGGAGAATTGCTTGAACTCAGGAGTCTCAGGTTACAGTGAGCTATCACGATGCCACTGTACTCTAGCCCAGGCAACAGAGGGAGCTCCTGTCTGAAAAAAAAAGAAAGAAAGAAAGAAAAAGAAACTGTGTCTTGTTATTGTCTATAAAATTGGATCTGCTGAATTTTGCAAGATGTATAACAAAATGGAATTCTAAATAAAAATTTTATGTATGGAAAAGATTGTATTTATAACAAACAAATCAATGCATAGATTTCTTGGCAATAAAGCACAACTTTAAACTTATTTATGATAAAATTGAGAATGTTATTAATTTTTAAAATGTCCATAAACCCACCATTTTTCTGCAGTTATTTTCATGTTTGTGCCTTCCCTTTATTTATTTAAAAAAAAGGGTTATCATAATGCATGTGCCATTTTATATTCTTCTTTGTCATGTCTTCGTTATCATTTTAATGCATTATATTTTATTCTGTTAAAGTATCATGATTTACTGAACTATTCGTATGGTGGACATTTAAGTAATTTCTATTTTGCTAAATATCATGGACAGTGGTACGAAGAGAAATGTTCTTACAGGTTTTTTATTTTGTTCTTGCTTTGCTGAAATTATGTCTATAATATAAATGGATAAGAATGGAGTTATAATAAGAGTCCAAATTTTGTTATATATAGCCACGTCATTCTCATAAATATTGCACTATGAATGTCACAAATACAATATACAAATTAGACAACATTTCACAACCTGGTTCAAAGTTTCTAGCTATGTTCATTTTAAAACTTAATCTGATCTATAAATTTAGAAATAAACTCTTGAAAAGCATAACAATATAGTAGGAATGATCAATAGAAGTGCTAGATAGTTTAAAAAACTTAAGAAACATGAATAATTGTTCCACATATTGATTAATTCTGAGTTTGAAGCTTTTGCTCTTTGCACAGCTGAGCTAGTCGACATGTCAGCAACATGTAAAAGAAGACAGAATAATTCACACCATGGGTATTATCCTCCACCTTTGAAAACGTTATCTTCTCTACAGAAATAACAACTTTAATTAGGAGGAGAAATTAAATCAGTTATTGAATGAGTCATTTTAACAACTCACCCTTGTCTAGAGAGCTAGCTTAGGGCTGTAGGATCTTTGGGGTCTTAAAGATTATTTTTCCATGCATTGTGTGGTTTATCTAGGAGTGCCACATTTGTCGCTATGTTCAGCATTCTGATTTTCCTTGAATGAAATAAGGGTTCTTAATACTTTTGAACGTTTAGTTCATATGCCTTAAAAGGAAGATCTGTGCTTTTAGGAACCAGTGATTATACAAACTAAGAGTTTGGGTTATCTACATAAAGTATTTTTGTTTCCATCACTAGATGAGATGTTGGAAGGAGATGTGCAAAGGCTGGAAAAGATTGTAAGAATTTGACCTTGCATTTTCCTGACATAAGTGGAAACACTCCACATTTCCTCTCTGAATCCATTTTCTGGGAGGATTGATCACAACCAGCCAAATCTTATTTGAATCTTTCTTTTGCAGCTTTTCAGTACATCTCATAGGGAAACAGGCCTTTAATAGGAGCAGTAAAGATGCCTGGTGAACTGAAGTCACTATAAGTTTTGTTCGTTTTGACAGGGTGTGCTTGGAGAATCTGGCGAACAAGGTTACCAAGGAGAGCTGGGGTCTCCAGGCTCACAGGTTGTATCAGGGAACTTGGTTTTAGTGATGAAGGATATTTGTTTGAAATTTTAACTCGATTGATAAGAATTTAACATAAATCAGAAAGGTCTTGGATATTTCCTTGCCAAGGCATGCCAAAACATATTGGTTAGCCCCTTCTCTGGGAAAGTTAAACCACAATAGCTAATATTTATTGATCTCTACAACTTAGATACTGTCCAAAGTACTTGTACCAACTCGTTTATTCCTTCTGTTGGTTTTAAAAAAGATTATCCTCATTTTACAGGAGAGAAATGGAGAGAGGATGGAGAAGTTAGGTAAATTGACCAAGGCCATACAGCTAGGAAGAGATAAAGTTGGGATACATACTCAGGCAGCCTACTTCTAAAATGTATATTCTTAATTACTGCCTCTGAAATGGTGTTTTAATTTGTTAAATTAATTTGTTGAAATTGTATTCAATTTGGCAGGAAAAATTAGAGTGTTTATTATGTTTATGACCCTCTGATAATAAACTGGGACATTCAGACCATTAGAAGAAGAGTGCTACCCTTAAAGAGTTCAGTCTAGTGGCATATTGTAAATTATCAAGTGATAACTAGAAATATAAACTTCCACCAGTTCTTTTGAAATCTTCTAAGCATAACCCAAATCTGTCATTTCTATAAGCCCTCCTGGAACACTTTATATATCTTTCTTTTAAAAGCCAAATGGTTTATGAGTATCATGAAGTGAGACCTTTAAAACAATAAATTTTACTAACTTTGAATCATTCTCCATAATTAAAAATTCTATTTGTATCAGTTGGTAATTTGAGAGATTTCTGCTGTCTTTAGAGTTGGCAAATGTACTAAGGAAAGGAATTGGTCATCAAAGTGGAATTAGATTTTTTAAAAGTGGAAAATTGATCATCAAAGTGGAATTATTTTTATGATGGAAAATAGTATGTGAACTTAGGGAGAGAAAACTAAAAGATATATCTACTTCTCTCTTCTTTTTGATCACTGGCTGAATTTAAATTTGGACCTCCCACCACTGGGTCCTTCTTTCTTCTGTGTACCCACTTTATCGTACTCCTGGGTGAACAGCAAGTAATTCATATTTGGAACCATTGGCAAGATATTCAATGAAACCTCTCCTTAACCCTTGCCTATGCCCTGGGAGGTGGGTTGACAATCTATTTAAATAAATGATTGTCAATATCTCACCTAGGAGAATAGAAGCTATGACCAATATTTCTAATAGGAAAATATTTCTCAAAAAAGCTGGGAAAAAATTGAAAGTGTCAAAAGTCAGTAAAATAAAATGGAATGGAGAGAGGGCAGTGCTTGTGGTTCAAAGGAGTAGGGTGCCAGCCCTATAAACTGGAGGTGGTGGGTTCAAACCCGGCCCCAGCCAAAAACTGCAAAAAAAAAAAAAAAAAAAAAAAAATGGATTGGAGGGAGAAGAAACAACTCCCAACAATGTAGTTGGTGAGACCAGCATCTTCACTTTTTGATGAAATTGAAAACATGATCTATTTTCCTTAGCCCTTGTGTGTATAAGGAAGAGGTTGATTTTTCTATGGATTGCAATATCCTAACTACTCTCTCACCCCTTTTAGGCTTTAAAATTAGTTGAGTGAATTAAGATCTAAAAACAATGTTCTCAGACTTTGGTGCTTATCAGATTCAAATGGAGAGATTGCTAAAAATATAAATGCTGAGGACTCATACCCTGTGCTTCAGATATGGGAGCTTGGAGTGAGAGCAGGAGCTACCTGATTAAAGTTTGATAAATGAGACAGTGGTAGGTCAGGGCACCTTAATTTGTGCTTCCATCAGCATCCATGATGATTGTGTGGTTGTGTGGAATATAAATGCCTTAGAAGAACTGGTTGAATTTTAATTTCATCTTTGGAGCAGGGACTGAGAGGAAGGCAAGGAATACCAGGAGCTTCTGGACAAAAAGGCTTCCTGGGTGCTCAGGTAGGTTTGAAAAACTAACAACTACAACACAGCTGGTCATTACCAATGGCCAGTTCGTGCCCCTGAGTGTCCCTGAACAAATAACATAAAGCTATATCATTTGTTCTGGGATCACTGGGTATCAGGGATTTCTAGAAAAGCTAATTTAATGTAGCAGATATTGATCATCTGCAATGTACCTCCTTCCACCCTATGTATATTTTGGGAAGATGGTGACAAATGAGATATGGGTTTAAACTTCAAGGGTATTTAATACGAGCTCATTTTTTATCTTATAGTATAAGACAAAACAATAGTACCCCCACAAAGGTATAAATAACTAATCTTCTTGTCACAAATATGTAAGGAAGTATTACTATCCCAATTTCATAGATAAGGAGGCTGAGGCCCAGGGAAGTTAAGATAGTCATCCAGATAATGAGCGGCCAAGTTGGCCCCTAACTTGGGTCTTTCTAGTACCTATTCTACTCCCTACCTAAGGTCCTCTTGGTTTATAGAAGGGCTAGACAGATAGAGACAGATGGTCAGAGTGGCTTTCTGAGGAGGGAAGGGAGCATAAAAGATGGCTTAGAAGATAACAGCATGATTGGAGTCCATAGATGATTGTCAATATCTCACCTAAGAGAATCTTTATCTGGAGACTTGAAATAGCAGCTCTGGGATGGCCAAAACCATGGTTATGTCCCTCATTCTTTCCCATGGTTAGGAAGAATCCAGCTTGTAACCAATTGTATTATTTTCGGTTTCAGTAGGAAATATTTTTTATTTGGAGTAGGTAAAACTCCAGGCTTTTGTCTTCCTGATCTATAATCCAGTCATGTTTCCCCCTGAGACATACAGCTGATTCCTCTAATTCTCAGTATATGGTAGATATAGCCTCTTGTACAGAACACACACCCCTGGCCCCAAGTTTAATTGTGTATCTTATGTATTTTGTGTATTGAAGGAAAGAATTAATTAATGGCATGAGACATTAAAGGCTAAGCTTACATCTCTAAGGTGATCTATGAGTATGTTACCAGTTTTAGACCACTTCAATAATAATGGGAGTCAACTAGTTAACTTTGTGGCCCTACTGGTAATTTTAGCCATGGTCTTGTTACAGGGGAGTCCTGGGCTTCCAGGGCCAAAAGGTTCAAAAGGAAAAGCTGGACCAAGAGGAATGAAGGTAAATGAGAGAATACATTTTCTCTTTAAGGGCAACCTGGGGGAGGCCCCTGGATTTTCTTACGCAAATCTTCCTTTATGTAATCAGCGTATGTTTCTCTTGTGGTTGATGATGCTATTGACCAGGGGTCCTCAGACTTTTTAAACAGGGGGCCAGTTCACTGTCCCTCACACCGTTGGAGGGCCAGACTGCGGGCCCCAGGACAAGTTTGCTGCTAAGCAGGACAGGCAGTGGTGGCAAAAAGACCGGGCGGGCCAGATAAATGTCCTAGGCGGGCTGCATGTGGCTCGCAGGCTGTAGTTTGAGGACGCCCGCTATTGACTATTCACAGCTAGGTAGATGCATCCAGAAAAGGCAAGACATATAGGAAAAATGGATCACATATATCATTAGACAAAAACATGTCAACAGATACACATATGGATTTGCCACAAATGTAAATTCACACACCCACATTTAGGAAAAGCCACAGTGGTATAAAATTCTAAAAGTTGTATTGCATACCTTGTTTTGCTAATTGTCAGTACTAGAATTCCTACTGTGTTTGTTATCCATATTTAACAAAGCCTAGAAGAAGGTATTTACCTAAGGCTGTCTGGTCTGCTCCCAGGGCTTGAGAAGAATGACTGTACAATTTCTAAGGAAAATGACACAAAATTTCCTGAACTCATAGAAGAAAATTAATTTCATTTTTATCCTTTATCATAAAAGGGAGAGGTTGGTGATACAGGAGAAAGAGGCCCACAGGGTCGACAAGGACCAAGAGGGCAGCCTGTAAGTCTGGTTTCTCTGTTTTGGAACTCTGGATCGAATGTTTTGCTCATTATTTGTTCTTGCTTTACATGAAATTCCAATATTCTTGATGGGTTAAACTTGGGTTACAGACATCACAAGATCCCGGGAGCTGTTAAGAATCTGTAGAAAGATTCTCAAAATCCTTGTATAAATTAAAAATCCAATTTTATGAAGAGGATCCCGCAGGCAATTGAAGCAACATCAAAAATACACTACTGGGACCTCATCAAATTAAAAAGCTTCTGCACAGCCAAAGCACAGTAAGTAAAGCAAGTAGACAGCCCTCAGAATGGGAGAAGATATTTGCTGGTTATGTCTCCAACAAAGGTTTAATAACCAGAATCCACAGAGAACTCAAATATATTAGCAAGAAGAGAACAAGTGATCCTCTCTCAGGGTAGGCAAGGGACTTGAAGAGAAACTTCTCTGAAGAAGACAGGCGCATGACCTACAAACATATGAAAAGATGCTCACCATCCTTAATCATCAGAGAAATGCAAATCAAAACTACTTTGAGATATCATCTAACACCAGTAAGATTAGCCCATATCCCAAAATCCCAAAATCATAGATGCTGGTGTGGTTGTGGAGAAAAGGGAACACTTCTACACTGCTGGTGGGATTGCAAACTAATATGTTCCTTTTGGAAAGACATCTGGAGAACATTTAAAGAACTAAAAATAGACCTGCCATTTGATCCTATAATCCCTCTACTAGGTATATATCCAGAAGACAAAAAATCACACTACAAAAAAAGATATTTATATCCAAATGTTCATTGCTGTCCAATTCATAATTGCTAGGTCATGGAAGAAGCCCAAGAGCTCATCTATCCACGAATGGATCAATAAATTGTGGTATATGTATAGCATGGAATACTATGCAGCCATTAAGAAAGATGGAGACTTTACCTCCTTCATGTTTACATGGATGGAGCTGAAAAATATTCTTCTTAGCAAAGTATCCCAAGAATGGAAGAAAAAGTATCCAATGTACTCAGCTCTACTGTGAAACTAATTTATAGCTTTCATAGGAAAGCTATAACACAATTTTAGCCCAGGAATATGGGGAGAGAGAGAGGATGAGAGGGGGAAGGGTGGGTGGAGGGAGGATGATTGGTGGGATCACGCCTATGGTTCATCATCCTATAAGGGTACATGTCAATCTCTCTAAATGTAGAATATAAATGTTTTAACACAATAACTAAGAAAAAGACATGAAGGGTATGTTAACCAGTTGGATGAAAGTATTTCAAATTGTATACAGAAACAGTACACTGTACCCCATGATAGTATTAATGTACACTGTTATGATTTAATAATAATAATAATAAAAGAATAGAACCCACAGAAATAAACAATTTGAGAAATTAAAAAAAATAAAAATTTGAAGATGTCTTGGAATTTGTTTTGCCTTCTCACATGTTGAAGAAGGAAGTGCCAATGACGCTCATCTGTTTGACAAAGGTATTTATGAGCATTTAAATCTTTTAGGAATACAAAGATGTTTAGTGAAACAGTTTTTCTAGGGCACCAAATAAGATAACCAATCAGATTTGCAGACTTTGAAGAGTTGGGATTCGATTATCCAGAGCATAGAAATAACCTTTGGACACCAATGATCATAGAAGAGTTACTTCTTCAGATAGCACTCTTATTGACAAGGCTGCACATTTTTACCTTAGTCATCACCTGAACAGGAGGGCAAGTTAGTTATTTCATGACTATTTTTAATTTACCCTTTATAGGAATTAGTTTTCCTGCGGCCCATATTACTGAGATTACTTTCACCACAGGAAGGATCTGCAGGGTTTTTTTTTTCTCCCTGTACTTGGCACTAAAGTTATGTTTGTTGGCAAGGAGAAAAAACAAAAGCAGGCCTGAGAAGCTTAAACTCAAATGTGAAAGGGAGAGATCAGAATAGGGTAACTGTAAAAGGGATATTTAGTGTTTTGCTTCTACACTCTGAAAATTCAGCTGGTGAAATTAATACTTTGTTTGACTTTATTAATATCTCCCAATTAAAAATTTTTCCTCCTCCCTTCTCCGTGGGACAGACAAAGCTGGGAAAGGGAACCTTTCTTGAAGGTGACATTTCAGGTCTGTGGAGGGTGACATCTCCAAAATACATAGTTTGAGTCTCTGCAGTGGCAGATGCTGGAGTTCTGCATGTCCTCCTCCACCGAGGAGGAGACGGAGTGACAGCAAAGACCCTCATTCACAGCAAACTGGTTAACATAGCCTTCACTGCACTTCTTAATTATTGTGTTAAGACGTTTATACACTACACTTACCCAGTTTGATGTAAGTATTCACATTGTATATAAAACGAGCACATTGTACCCCACAAATGCATTAATATAGGCAGCTATTATTTAATTAAAAAAAAAAAGAAAGAAAAGACCCTTATTCACACCTCTCCCACCAACAACTCGTTTTTGGCAATCTTTTTTGTTTTTTCTTTCTTTTCTAATCTTTCAAAGTTTCCTAATTAGGCCTTAGGAATATTCCTTGTGTCTTCATATTTTTAATTTTTCTTCTCAGTTGATCTATTTGATTTAGGGCCAGTCTTTGTCCATTCAGTAAAAAACACCTATAAGGCTTTGAATTCGCCCTTTATTACAAGAAATTCACTATCTTTATGTATAGATGGTAAGCTCCCCAGTGGTGATATCGGCATTTTCATAATTGTTATCACCACCACTACTGCCACCTCCACCATCAATCACTATCTTCAGCAATAACATCGTCACCACTACAAACATTATCACCACCACCAAAACCAGCCACTTTCACCACATCACCACCAGTATTACCACTTTTATTACCATCATCACCATCACTACCACCATTATCATCATCACTGTCACCACTATCATCACCATTGCTACCACCACTAACACCACTACTATCATCACCACTACCATCACTGCCCTCCTGCCATCACTACCACCACCAACAGTGGCAGAATAATTGCCACTTATTAAGTATTCTCTCTGTGTCTGGCATTGGGCTAAGCACTTTCCATGCACCATCTTGCTTAATCTTCCCAACAACCATACCATGTAGATAATATTATTCCTGTTTACACACGAGGACCCTGAAGTTTATAGAGGTTGAGTATCTTCCTCAAGGTCACTCATACAGCTAGTACTAGGACTGCAATGAAAATTCAGTTCTGTCTGAGTTTATAGACTGTACACTTAGGTACTAACCTAAACTGCCTCTGTCCCAATCTTTTTTTCTAAAGTCTGTCTTTGTCCTCAGAGACTTCCCAGTTCTGGAGCTTCTTCCATTGATACTTCTTCCACATGGGAAGTAAACTTAGCCCAAGTACAGTGATGTGGCTTCCTACAACCACAGTATTGTCTTGGTGATGCACAGAATTTTGAACGTGCAGAAAGTGTTAAAACATAAAAACTTTCTTCAATTTTCATATTTTAAAGTTTTAAACCCTTATCTCCTCTGAATACAAGAGTTTATGCTATGAAGGCACTCTTCCAATCTTCATCAAGCCCTTCTGTCTTTCCTATCACATTATGTAGTTGATTTATCCAAGGGCTCAGGTACTATTATCAACCAAGTGTTGATTTGTATGATTGTACAATTAATCTTGTGTCATTTTCTTAGGGTATTCATGGTTCCGATGGGTATGGACATCCAGGAAGAAAAGGAACAAAGGTGAGGATTAACTTACAGGGTTTTCTGAACTAAGGACTATAGTTTTTATTTTATTTTACTAAAATAAGAGTTATTTTCCAAGTGGTATGTCAGGAATGGTTTCTACATGTTTATAATATGCTGTAGCTGCCAGAGTTTCCTCCCTAAAAGTAAAACTGAGTGTGTCACTCCCTTATTTAAAAGTAAAACCCCTTACTTCACCTTCCACCTATGTCAGATGTTCCCACCCAGCCCTGGGTATGCCAGGCCCTCTCCTAACTCCTCGGCTTTGCAAACACTCTGATCTCTATTTAAAATTCTCTCTGTTGGACAATTTTTGCTTATGTTCTAATATCAACTCAAATATCACCTTATCCTTGTGGAAGCCTTCTCGGGCTTCCCCAGACAGAATTTGTTGTCCTGTACTCCATATTACTAAAGTACATCGTATCTCTGCACTAGCCCTTTTCCACCTAGGTTGAATTACAGTTTATCCCTGTCTGTAAATATGACAGCGGACTTGCTTCTCATTCATTTTTGGATTGTTGGAACAGGGCCTGACAGATAATAGGGACTCAGTAAATATATTTAGATGAATGACTACCATTCCCCTAATAAGCTGGTATTGCAGCATTTAGTTGATTGATCACTGGTGGATTTTGAAGCATGGGGGTCACATAAAGTACTTTAATATGCAAGTTATAATTACTGCCTCACAAAATAAGAAGTCACTGGAATGCTTATTGATGTTCCCTGTGGCTGCAAGATGGCATTGTTGCCGTTTCACTGAGCAGCAAAATGCCCTGAACATAGTAAGAGCTTCATCTACTGCTATGGATGAGCATCCATGGTCGTCTCAGACTAATCGTCAGAGAG